TATTTCGAAAACCGAAAAGTTTCCTTCATTCTGGATGCGTTTGTCTACAGACCGTAAACTCTAAAAGCACAATTGAAAAGTTGAGGGTAAACAAGAGCGTCTAATATAAGCGCTCGATCCCGTTTTGGATTGGCCAAGTGAAAAGAAAACAATGTTTTAAAGTAATTTGCACGGCCGGGATATGAAATTTCCCCATTGAAATACCTAATTAAGATTCGAAAACTGTAAACACACCGAGTTGCTGCTTTTCATTACTTATCCGCTGTTTATTCACTGAAGATTTTGAAAGTTGCGGTAGAATGAATGGTAAGATCCCTCGAAAAGTATTCAGGTATTTGGTTCATTATTTCTTTAGTAAATTTGTACTTTTGTTGTTGTTTTAATTGCGCACGATTAAAAATCCAATAATAGTTATTTACGTAATCAGTAGGATATTACTAACGCACGAATGTGAAGATTATAAACACAACAAGAAAATAGACTTCATTATTGCTTACAGGAAAATTAACATTTTGATCAACTTATAAGATCGTGCGAAAGTAGATCCCATGGGTTTTATTACAGCAATTTTGCTTCCGCGAATAAAAAGTTCTTTTTGTCGATGTAAAATAATCAATAAGACATAAAATCAAAATCAATGTATAAACTAAATTTTCTTCCTGTTATTAAACGATTTTAACAGTCTAACCTACTCTTCGAATCATTTACATATACAATTGTTTTTGTGTAAACACTAACCTGAAAACCAATATCTGAATGCAAGCAAGTTTAATTGTTTCTACAACTTTGAAACGCGATTATTCGGAAACCTCTAAAAATATTAATTTAAAGTGTCCCCCTTACAAATAAAATTGTCGGGTCGTTCCGATTTTTCATATTTTCAGCTGCAAGAAAGATATTAAGGGTGGGATGTTTTTAAGTTGACACCCCTTGTAGATGTAGATGAAATGAAAAAATTAACAATTATTTGGGGGGTAACAGTTGTCACCTCTATAATAGACGGGATCAATATGCGTTAAATATGGGCTGAAGGGAGGCTATTGGTTAACATCTGCTATTTGAATGTGAAGATATTTTCGAAGATATTGCCATTGACTGAACGCAAATATAGCATGAAGAGAAACGTAAAATTAGAAAAGTTCACCAAACCACAATAAAATCATGAATTGAACTGTTCAGCACCAAAAACAATCTGGGTTTGCATTGCATAATACTACAGATGTGTGGCTCAAGACGCCTAGAAATGCCATTCCAATTCGAAAAACACCGGGGATTTTTGTGGGTTCTTAAATTTACGCTGCCATTGAATCTGCCCCAATAGGTGTGGCCATGAAAAGGGCGTCCGCTAGCGAACAATGCAGAGTTTCAGCAATCTGTTCCATTTGAATCAGCAGGCGGTTTCGCATCATCACGCTGACCAAATGACGCCGCCTCAGCACAATCGTCACTTGGCCTATCTGGCCACCAGCAACTATCACCAGCACATGAACAATTTCTCCCATTATCAGCCAACTCCCTCGCCCAGTATCAGCATCGAAAGTTGCCCGGAAACTCCGTCGGACGAGAGTAGCGAGAACCAAAGCTCGAAATCCGACTGTTCCTCCTCGCCGAAGGAGAACTTTTTCAAACGGCACACCGGCCATCATCATCATCATTCCATTCAGGAGCTGATCGGCCATTTTCGGAAGAAGGTGCACAATTGGAGGGCGGAGAATGGATACAGGAGGAGTTCGTGCAGTGAAAGTGCGAGCAATGAGGGCGATGAGTTTCGCGAGAGGAGCAAGTCGCTGGATTGCAATACAAAGAGGCCGTCGGTCACTCACGACTGCGAGAGTACTTATAGGATTTATAATACGATTTTGAAGGAAGGTAGGTTTGAGTGTGGGGGGATGAAATGAGAAAATGTTTTAATGCGCTCTGTATAGTACAGCGAACAACTAAAAAGTGCTGTACACGTGAAGGAAACGGCCTATTGAGTGCAACACGACACAACTTCTAATTGCGTGCATTGGAAAGAGAGGACGTTACGGGGGGCTGTATTTTTGTTCTTTTTTTAATGCCTTGGAGCTGGTGTTTGCCTTGTTCCACTCATATATATGTATTCATAGAGTGCGGTTCACACAAATTAAGGGCAATGTGGCCAGACATAATACAAGGGTCTGCAATAAATAAAAATCGGATTTTTGGTGTTCTTGGATGTTTAAGCGCCCTGTATATTCTACAGGGTGGTCCTCAACTAATGTGACAGCATTCACTGTTTAAATCCAAATATGTCTTAACCGAAAGTTATATTTTTCGAAGTATAAATGAAATTTTCGTTTTTTTCTAATAGATTCTTATCCAGTTTTACTACTACCAAAAAATATGTGAGCATTCTCATTGTGTAGCTTGTAGTTTCAAAAGGGCGCGAGCTGCACTAGTTTGGGGCCATTTAACACATCAGACATGTTTTGCGTTTTAAGGTATCCCTTGTTTATTGGCATTATATCATTCTCGGATATTTTTTAAACAAAAAATGTGCACTTGGTTCAAATCGATATTGCACCGTTTTCCAGATATTTTACAATTGAATCTAGTGATTGTTTAAACAAGGCGAAAGCTGAACTTTCGTATTCATGCGTTACATACCATTTTCGATAATCGTTATTCAATTCAGAGAGCAAATGAGCATATAGCATTGGATGATGATTTTTGTTATTGCAAGCGAAACGTCAAGGAAACACGTTTTGTCTGGATTGTACAGTGTTCAAAAGCAAATATTTCATTCATAAAGTTCGAGCCAAATATAGGAGCCAAACCGTCTGTAAACTATTTTTAATGGCTTCAAATCTGGAGCAAATACCCTTTGCCGACTAGAGGGTATTTTTAGAAAAGCTCTTTTCATCCCTGCTTATTTTTCACAAGTTCTAGTTGCGTAAACGGATGTGAAATGACAGCGTTTATTTGCTAGCTGCATTAAAACGGGGAAGGAAAAATGAGAAATTGCGCTTTTCGGTTTGTTGACTTGGCGATTTTTTTAAATGTTGGAGATACTGTTGGTTGAAAACCTTGCGTAGGATTCTTCACCTTTACTGGTTTACTAGTCATCGGAAGTTCACCGGTTTGGTGGCTTTTATATGTGGCGCTTGTTCGCCTTGAACTAGTTTTTTTAAATCTTACATTAGACTTTTTACCGGCGTTTTGTGGTATTTTTCATATTTCGTACAAGGTTATAGTCTTGTAGCAGGTGTCATTGAGGGTGCTTTAACCTGCTTCATACGTTCCATGCCATTAAACCTAGAAAATGTTGCTTGATAAGTTATGTAATTTGCCATGAATAACGTGGGTTTTTGTCAGTTTTTTTGTTATTTAAATTTCGGTTTCATGATTCATTGTTTTTACAATATTATCACAACTTTCCATCACGTGTCTGGACATCGGCTCGTCGGAGAATTTCATTGCCAATGATCTAAAGTTAAATCATCTATTTCTAGATCAGTGTCTCCAGACGATGTAATTAATTGATTATCACAATGCATTCTGGAAGCTTGTTTTTGATATTTTTTGCAGGCTGGCCTTGTTTCAACAGCAACAATAATGCGTTGTATCTATCTGAAGGAAAATCGCTCGCAATAGAGCCCCCCACACAAAAAAATATCACACAAACACTATTATTATACATTCGCGAGGTGTTTTGTTATTATCTCATTGAATATTTTGCGTTCACCTTGGAATGAAGAAGTTAATTTATTCGTCTTGTTATTCTTGTCAGACGGAGTCGCCCTTTACACAAACGACGGCTGAAATGAGAAAAAAACGTTCTCCCAAACATCCATTATAATCTAGACGCTGTTATTATTTGGAAAAAATATATCAGACGAAGCTCAAACAGCCAATGTTGTTTTTCCTGGCAGCGAGCGCTGTAAATACGAAAACTTTCGATTTATTCAATCGAAGTGAATGGAGTTGTAGCGAAAATAATTATCAAACATTTTCTTCCAGTTCCTTCATCGTCTTTGCTTAAAAAGACGCCTACATCTGTTTACTGTGAAATAAGGTTTTTGACCCGTTTTTACTGATGGCCTTTTAATTTTTTTGAGCGCTAAAACATTTTTACAGTACAATCAAAAGAAAGTTGCGTGTAAGTTGGGTCATTATCGACATTAAATTCCAAGTCAAGGTTGAACCAACATTCGTTATGTAACAAGCCTAAAATACTTTGCTAAAAAAAGTATTATTTGGTTTGCATTTCCGACAATTTGCATGCTACTCCCCGTGTTTAGAGTGGCTTTTGCCAGAAATAGCAGGAACAATTTCAAATGAAGAAAACCCTCAAAAAAGTTAAGTATTTGCGGGCATTGGTTGAAACTGGTGAATTTCCCTCTGGTGGTTACTGCGAAACGTTTGGAAGAATTTCTTTTCCCTGACGGCCTACAAACTCGACAAAATGAACAGTTTGAAAGGGACAAAAACCTTCATAAACCAAATACTTTCTGCCACTGAAAACGGTTTTAATTAAAAAACTAATCAAGAGCGCATTTTCACGCTTCTAAGCCGTTTTACGCGACTATAAGAGATAACTAATGCATATTCCGCCAAATGGGTCAACATGTATTTTGAATGAGCCTGGAAGCTCTTAATGTATGCTGTTTTATCAGAAAGGCATCCGGTTTAACCGCATTAAGCTAAAATCGAAAACATTTACTGTTCAGTTTCGATCTTTTTTTTTTTTAATGGAAAATCCATGATTATTCTGTGCATCCACATTAAAAAGTTCAACATGCCTAGCTGTCTTCTAGACTGGTAGAAATGCGATTATAAAAGTCGCCCACTCACAAATTTTGCAGCTTTTCCATTGAAATTTTATTGGGTTTGGTCAGTGCGGTTTTGTGCGTTTGTGAAAACTTCTATTGATTGTCATCTAAAATTAGATGGAAGCTCAAATTTAACTTTACGTCGGATTATACGGTCAATTTACATTTGCTAGTTTATGATGTTATTAAATTGGATACAACTGTAAATATATTAATGGATAATCCATTTATTTGATAGTTTATTAAATAAAAAACTAATTAACAAGTTTGAATTGTGGGATCCAAACAACGTTTTGTGGAATTTATTGGCCATATTTGTCAGTGCTAATTGAGCCATTTTTTCAGGAGCCCAAATTAAGCAGAAAGTGCTGGATGGAGACAGAAGACGTCAATCTTTAGGTGCCATTATTCCTACGAATATACACAGAGCTTCGGACGCCTTTGTGGATCCTCATCATGCGGCCATATTGTTTAGGGACTCTCGAGGGGTAAGTTCTGTAATATGACGAATTATACAGTGAGAAAGTGTGACTTGAAATGCGTGTAAAATTGAGGGTACAGATCTGTGAAAAAACGCATGAATCAATAGACGTTTTTCGATTTTAACTCATTCAGGGTGAAGCAGGAACTAGTTTAGTCACCAACTTTAGTTTAACGAATTGAAATTTTGTTGTAATTCTGCATTGGATCCTGAAAATGTTTCATTCGCCAGCATTTTCATCTGCACTCGTAGTTGCATTCATTCAATATAGAAGTAACTAAGGCTGATAATTTTAAAAATGTTTATGCATCATTTTATCCAAATTGCACAATTAATTTTCACGTGACTAGGTGGTTATCAGCTTACAATAGAAAAAAACAGATTAAAAACGACGAAATAAGCACTGGGCTTTTAAACGGATTGAACACCAATAGTCTAATCGATTCACGTACAAAAAACAGTCAAAAATCCGGTCGATAATGGTTAATGATAAGGAAATTCAACATTTTATTTGGTTTGCTGTTGTCTCCCTTTAATAAGTCGATTTTGTGGTTTATTTTTCGACACCAGACTCACGAGAGTTACGATTAAGGTCTGGTACCTGCATAAAAATTGTTGCTAAATTGGGAAGTAAATCCATATCCTTTAAATGAAAACGTTACATTCTGTATAATTGTGAATTAATCATCAGGAAAACCGCAACTAAAACAGAAATTGGCGTGTTTAGGCGTTTTTGTTTCAAATAAACTCCCGAATTTGAAACAATTTAAATGAAATGATTTCCTGACGGGCAGGAAAAAAGCAGAAAACTTGAGTCACAATTGCATTCGCCATAGTTCTGTTTGAACCCGATGGTGAATGGTTGTAAATTCAATTACATCTAATAAGTTTTTTCGAAATAAATAGTCGGCGTTAGGAAGATTAATTTGACCATATTCATAGAGCGAAGATATTTTCGGGGTGGTTTTTCTATTCTCAGCAGGGCATTGGAGAAGCTCTTGATATGGAATCTGATTCAGAAATTGCATGAAATGCATGTTGGGATAAATGGCGGAAAATATGGTCGTTTTTTAGCTAATAATATGGAAAATGCAATATTGCAATCGGTTCCGAAATTAGGCCTGCGGAATTAAATCTGTACACTTGCAGGCACACATTTTTTGCTATTTAAAGAGAATTTATTGGCGCAAATAATGTTTTCGCCTGTTATCTTTCGCAGGATTACATTCCATTGCAGTAAACATTGGTGTGTAAACTGCATCGTATAATTTCGAGTTTTCGTGTCCAGATAGCCTCAAGCCGTTATCTAAATGCGTAGTTATTTCGAGATAATTTCGACTGGAACATTTGCCAAACTGATTAGTTAATGTTAGACCGATGTCAAACATAGCGCTGGCAAGTTTGTAAATAAACAAACTACATTCTGTTTGAATGTTTTTTATGGGCCAATTATAGCGAATTGTAGTCCTTTTCGGCTTGGAAACGTTAAACTATTTAAAAAATTATAAGTTGGACTTACGAAGCTCCCTCTTACGAGCCTCCGCAATGGTAGGTCTTGCGTTTGAATGGAAAAGTTTGCTTCAAAGCAAACTTTTTCATCATTATCTTACAATCTAAAAAGGATTTAGGAAATACACAAGTTTTTCGGATGCAGTTACTTCTCCAACGAAACTCTTATGGAACCAATAAGTGAAAAGAATTGGTAAAGCGAATTTTCACATTGGAAAGTTTAACTAGTCTGTTTTTCGGCCAGACAATAACAAAGTTCAAATAACATCTTCAATTGCTAAATCTTTGATAAATAAACAATAGTGCCCCCAGCCGCATTTCCAAGCGCGATCTTTACACTAATGAATGATTGTTGTTGGTTTCTGGTTCACGATCATTCCAGATTTCAATTGAATAATCTGGTTTTGGGTGCCTTCTTAGCATGCAGATCGAAAGTGTGTTTTTTCTTTTTAAATACATATTTTCAAACTAGTTCATTCCTGATTAGTGTTAGTAAAATTCCTCTTTGAAATTTTTTTTCCGATGTGCTTGTTTGATTGTAAGAGGCCAAATAGACTCGGCTCACCTGCAAATCGCTGGTTCAGTTAAGTAAATGTTTTTTTAAGGTAGTAAATCGAAAACTCCACATTATCAGTGAACTAGTAACAACGCTTGCGCTCATCTGGCTCACCGTTTTGTTTTTCTCATCTCTGAGTGGATCCGAGCCAATCAAGCAGTTAAAAAGTTTCGAAAATTACTGCATTTCGATACGGGCTTGTCCGTGTTAAACAAGTTGTTGCCGGGCTTGGTTGTTATTTATTGTTTATTAAGCGGCAGGCATAAAACTTCCTACATTCATCGGCAGTCACCTGTTGGCGTATTTTCAGTGTGCAGTAGCTGGTTTGACCGGATCAAGTGATGTGCTCAATTGTTTTGTAAAGTGGTACGAAAATGTGGATTTACCTGGATAAAATCCCGAATATTTAATGCCTAGTTGGATACAAAAAAGTTGATAGAGCGTTGATTCAGCCACTTACTTATTCTCGGTCGTTTACAGTTCTGATGTCACGGTCAAATCCTTCAAGCCAATGAAATTAAGGCACGTTTTTTCTTATTCTGCAAACCCACTCAGTTATTCCAGACTGGCTCGGTTCTCTAGTCACGTTTTTCTCTTCAGCGCGATGACTTTTTGCCTTTTATGGGGGTCCAGGGTGAACTTTGTACGATTTGTTAGGAGATGTATTTCTTATGATGATAAAAGCTCCAATCAGTAATAATGGGTTTTATCGGTCCATGTTAATTGAATTTTTTTCAAATTTAAAACAATCGAGGGTATTTAATTAAGATTGGGTATTTAGAGGCCCCAGTATTTATTTGGTTTTAGCGAGAAAAACTTAGCCAAATGGATGCTATTGGAAATTTTGAGTTTTCAAGAATTTTTAACTGAAGTGGCCACGCAATTCGAATGAGAGGACAATGCTCTAATCTATCAATCTACTAGATAGATGTAGATTGATGAAACAATGCCTATTTCCAGACACTTGGATAATACCTAAAATATGGCTCAAAATCAACTTGGTTTATAAAGTCTATGTAGACATTTAATGCAAGCAGGATTTGTACAGGAAACGCCACTTTGTTGGTCAACTTACTGCAAAAAAATATCGGTTTACTGAATTATTTAGCAAAAAAATACGTCGAATGGGCGAGTTAGAGAAAGTCCCAAACTCATGCCAATTAGCACGTATACCTTATTAAAATCGATATATTAGCGCAAGTTTTCTGTAGACGCGCCTAAAAATTAGATAACAAGTCTTGTGAGATCATGTATCAAGGACGGGCTTGAATTGAAGACAAAATTATGACTTTCAAGTCCCCTAATATGTATTCCCTCATTCGGAAATTTTTATTCCGGCAGGCGGACACTTGAATGATTTATTATTACCTTTAGGTCAATGGTTCTTCCTAAATTAAAAAATTGCACCCATTTGGAGTTACTTTAAAAAACAGCCAGCACTCAGTCATTGCATCATATTACATTTGGTTTCGCAGGTTCCCACATCTTTTGTCAGTTTATTTATTAAAATAGATTTTTATCTGTGAATGGATTAAGTTGCGCTTTTCTAATCATAATCTATAATAAATAGAGCGACTCATTAGTTTAGCATGTTTAACAGTTCTCATCTAAAGCGAGTGTTGTTCAGTCGGTTAAAATGTTGACTTTTTCGATGTAAAAACTGGTTTCATGTGGCAAAATGTTGAAAAACCGCGTTCATTTGGTGGACAAAAGCAATTTGTGGTATCGTGTACCTTTCCCTCGAAAAGCCACTCTGAAGAAGACAAAGGTTGGTTTTTTATGCGGCGATAAATCCTAATTATTTCAAAGAGGCATTTTGCAATTTTAAGGTTCACGAGGATGAATGTGTAAGTGAGTGTTAGATAAATGAAGAGTAATGTGTAAGTAGAAATGCTTTCAAGGAATCTTTTTTTGCTCGTCAGCCATTGCAAATTTTCTGTTTGTCGCCCTGTATCACCAGGACAATTGAGCAGTTTTTGCATGAAAAAACTATAATGGAATTTACAGTTTTATTTGATTTTTCTCCGACTTTGGACTACCTGGCGATTTAAAGTGGTGCCAATCACTCGAATTAGGCGAATTACCTATTGGCAGGCCGTTCTGGAAATAGATCGCTGCGATTTTCCGATGCCAATCACTCGTCAGTTTCTCTCGTTTTCAATAAACCACCAAATCTATTAAATTGGAAATCTTTGAAGGTAATTGATGCCGTTCCATTTGAGGCTGATTCTATTTGTTTTTCCAGGTTCATGCTGGCTTTTTTCGCCCGGGAAGATTTAATTTGGAGCATTTTCGTACGGAAATGCTGTATTTTAAGCAAAGTAATTGCAGACTAATAAACGGGTTTTTATTGTTCCCCAACATTATGGCAATTAGAGTTGATCTTGGCAATTAACCTCGCCTCGAGGTTTAGCAACGAGTGCATAAGTTGTAATTTACAATTTACAATTTCGTCTCAACTAAAATGATGGATCTTATCTGGAACACATTTGAATGAATGTTTTTTGTGGCTGGTGTTTTTCAAAAAAATGGTTATTTTTGCATTGAAAATTGAAACACGCAAACGGCATTCTACCTACCTGAAAGTTTACGCAAAATGTGGCTTAGTGAATTTTCTCTGTTTCGGTTCGATATTTCTGACCGTCCACAATGTGCTTTATACCGATGTATAATATTTATTACACAAAATCGGTGAAAATGCAAATTGTCAGGCAATAAAATCCATCTGCACTATACAGAAAACAACATCAAATTAATTCCGATAAAGCGCATGACATCAGAATGTTTAAAATGCAAATGGAAATAATTGTTTAAACTAGTGGCGCGGGAATCATCAATAGTAAATCCGCATTTTCACGCAAACAGTGCCACATAAAATGGAACCATATCCGGGCCTGCAGCGTCGCAGGAAAACGTTTTTCCGACGCCTCCATTCGTTCAACGACTCCTCCGAGGAAAAGGAGCTGATTTTCAGCACTGAGTGTTCTGATCCGTTTTCACACGAGTTGCCAGTCAGGAAAATATCGGAACCTTGCCGAAGCTGGTCCAGAAGTTCGGAACGTTCGAGGAAAATTTCGGAACCCAATGGCAGCTTTTTCAGGACGCATCTGACGGTGCTGCATTCGCCGCCGATTGCAACCGGAATCTGGAACTGGTACTCCAGACTGTCTACTAATGTTAAAAAGAATCTGCACAGTCCCAAAGTGATTAAACGGTTTTTGGTTAGTTCCTTTCCTTGTCACTAAATCGTTCAAATATTAGTTTTTCAACGTTGAAATGCCGGTTGGTTCGATGGAAAGGAACGTGGAAAAATGGAATGTGAAACATGGAAGGTTTGGTTGATAGGGAGCCGATGTTCTTATTTATCTAAAACTGATTTTAAGTCGGGTTTTGTCGTGTTGAAGAGTAGAGTATATTCACAACAATAATTTAAAAATTTCTAAGGCAATCGCGTCATTTCAGAAATTTAAAAGATAGTGATTGGGAATTCGCAAATTATTTTTTGGAAGTGCGTAACAGCCATTGCTGGCTTTCAGGAAAAAAAATCCTGGGAAGAATTTTATAAATGTTCCCAATTTTGCAAAATGTATGCAAAAGTTTATGATAAACCCAAATGTATGCAAAAGTTTTTTTTATTATTATAAAGAGAAAATTGAATTTATGTTTCTGAATTTTTGGAAACGGTGATTGACCAAATGCCTCAAAAACAACTTTTTTTTGAAGATCGGAATAATTGCTTCCTTATTAGAAAATGCAAATATGCATTTTTGTTGTTTAGCGTCGAATAGTTAATTTTGCTCTGAAGAACAACGTAAAACTTTCGGCATTGTAACTGAAACGTTTCGGCAGATCGTTTTGAGCCTATCAGCTCTCTGTGGGTGTGTTATTTTAAGGCTAAAACCCAGCTGATGAGATGTTTATTTTGTTTTTCATTTAATTGCACAATTTCATTGACTTGGTTTTTTTCTACTGAGCGTCTTTTCTTTATAGGAAATTGTTCTCCTTAAAAGCAAGTTTTTCTTCTTAAATTTTTAGTGTAATTTGAAATATTTTTTTTTGTTTTCAGCTGCCAGTCGTCGATCCCTTCCTGGAAAAAGTCAAAATATCCGATCTAGGTGAGTCTTTTACACGATTAAGTGAGTCAGCGGACTTTGTTACCTTCCTAATCGCTCTTTAAACATTTTTCATTCTTCCCGTGTTTACCTCACATTTATTTAGCGGGAGTACGACATTGATTAGATACGCTTTGCTAATGGAACCGCCGATAGGGTTACGGGCGTTTATTACAAATGTGATTTTCATTAATACGTGTCCATATGAAAATAAATATAGTTAGCAGATGTTGGATTTTAGCCATGCACTCGATGTCTAGTTTTGATTATATTTATGCGACAATCAGTACTAGATGAAATTCAAAAATAATCTGACCTTATCAACTGTTTTGATGCGGCTTTTATTAGTATATCTTTTAAACTTGCTTGTTTAGTGTGGCACTTTCAGTGCACCATTAAGTTGTAATTTAGAGCCGAGCGCGTAAAGCATATAGTTCAAATCGCCCTAATAATAAAGCTAATCCTGCCAGGCTACCGGGTCAGCTGGATTTTTGGCACCAAAGCAATGTGTTGGGGATCCAATAATAGATTTTCGGGAGCAAATCGGCAGTCGACTCCCGGCTTTCAACGCGAAAATTTCCCCAAAAAACTCCGTGCACCTGGTAGTGTTTTTACAGTTTTTTTCCCAGCGGCTTGAATGTGTGTGCCAACTTGAAAGTGTTTTTCGTATTGTTGGTCTATTTTTAGAGATGGAATTGTTATTGTTTACCCCCATAGCCCTGTATTCATACTGCGTTTTGTATGCATTTTTATACGCTCTTGCGTTGCAGCGATTTACATGCAGAGTTCATTTGCGGGGAAACAGTCGCCCAAGTTTACTTCTTGCGCAGTTTTTTCAGTTAGAACACGATTTACTAGACTATTTTTCAGACTCGGATAATGGAAGCTGATTATCAAAACATCGTTACGTTATCAAGTAGGATTAAACAGCCACTTCGATCTAAATCCTTTTAATGCCCGGGCCAGGAGAGATAAGACTTATTAATAAACTTTTTTGCATTTTAGTGAACTGCTAGCGATGGTTCCAAAATAGTAATTTTCAGTTCTTACGTGTGGTGATGTTGAGCGCAACCTTTAGTTTTATTTGTGGCCGTTGAAATCCGAGTGCCAATCAATCAAAGAAGCACAAACATGATCAAATTTTGCTTATTTTCCGGTCGAATCCGATGTTAACCCGAGTAAACTCCGTTTTGATAACCTATCAGAGGGCTTGTTTGTTTTGAAGCCGGGCCTTCATTGTTTGAACGGCTAATAATTGCAATAACAACATTAATAGGCGTTTTCAAGCAAAACGTATTTTCGAGTTATCATTATCGTTAATGTAAAGCCTAAATAAAAGTATTGCAAGTGTTAGACATCAATGATTCTGAAACAAGAATTGGAAATCATTAGGGTGGTAAACAATAACTTTGCACCGTTTTTCCTCATTTTTAAGTGTTTTTTCCTTCAACAAACGCCTGTCTGTGTTATTAAGCAAAATGTTCGAATTGTGACCGAAAGCGGATAGAAAAAAATCGAAACATAAACAGCGATATGTCAAAGGCTTTCGATAGTGTATGCGTGAGTAATCCGCGAAATGTTGGTTGTCTGCCTGTTTGCTCATGTTGCGGCTGCACCTCTACTCAAACCATTTCCGCCTAGTACTGCCCCCTATAGCCGAAGAAGAGGAGGTTTATCGCATTGATCAAATCAAAGAGTTTGAGCACATTTCGCAGACCTACAAGGACTGGCTGGCTGAGGTTTTAGAGAAAGGTTAGACCCAAAGAGGCAGAGGATTTTTGGGTCCAAATTTAGACTGATGCGTTTATTTCACTCCATGCCTCAAGCTGTCTGATTATGCGTTTTTTTTTTCATTGCAGAAGAAGATGAATCTCAAATCTTCGTCAAGTTCTTCAAGTTTCATAAGTGCTACGATCTCATTCCTACATCAGCAAAACTGGTGGTCTTTGATACTCAACTTCTCGTTAAGAAGGCCTTCTTTGCTTTAGTGTACAATGGTAAGTAGTCTAATGTGAACTGTATTTTTATTTAAAATTTAAAAAAATCGACTGTAAATTCAAAGCCACTTAAAGATTATGTTCTTCCACCTTCCAAGATTACATCGCGCTCATAGGAGATACACGTGGGAGTAAATTTTTTGCTCGGTTGGGTTGTTTGCGAATGGAAAACTACTCCACTCAAAGCCGCAACAAATTAGCTGGTTTAAATCTATTTTCGGCAACATTCACTTGTTAACGCCCGAGGATTCAATGGTGTTTTCTGTTTATTTCATGTCAATTCATCAGCGCTTTGGCTTTTTTGTCAACTGTGTATTTGAGTTTGTTTGTATTTTTCTCGGTTGTAACATCTGAGCCGCATCAGTGTTAATTTAAACCCGAAAGTTATTTTTGGCAGAGGAGCACGCCTGCAGATTGAATAATTGTGTTTACCATGTGTCAATAAATTGGCAGTAAAATGTGAGAACTCGTTTCTAAGCTGCAAAAAATCGACGATATAAACATCACCGGCCTTGGCATGAATTTTAATTAAATAAAATATGTTATTGTGTTTTTTCCATTGAGCGTACGAAATATAATAATAAATAATGCTTGTGACAAATCATCGCGAAGTAAATGGCTTGAGTTGAAAACAAGAGTCAACAATAACAAATCGCACCGCACTGAATCTATAATGTTGAATTTTAAAGCAAAACTAAGATAATTTTTTAAAAGGTGTGAGGGCAGCCCCGTTGTGGGACAGTCAGAAACAAGAGTTTGTGGGAATGCTCACAATCACGGACTTCATAAAAATCCTGAGGATGTATTACAAATCCCCCAGCGTGGCCATGGATGAGCTGGAGGAACACAAGCTAGACACCTGGAGGCGGGTACTCAAAGACGCCCGACCTCTTATTAATATTGGCCCTGACGCGTCGTTATATGATGCTATTAAGGTAAGATTGACTAAATAATTAAGGTTAATTCAAATAATCCTGGTTATTTTCCTTTTCAGGTGCTGATTCACAATCGAATCCACAGGCTGCCGGTGATCGATCCGGATACAGGCAATGTTCTCTATATCCTTACTCACAAGAGAATACTCAGGTTCTTGTTTTTGTATGTAAGTTGGCTGCTTAGTGTAACCGATCCGAGCGGAACTTAACGAGCGGCTTAATTCCAGATAAACGAATTGCCTAAACCCAGTTACATGAACAAGACGCTTCGGGAATTGAGGATTGGGAGTTACGAGAACATCGAGACGGCCAGTGAAGACACGTCGATTATTTTAGCGTTGAGGTCCTTTGTGGAACGACGGGTTTCTGCCCTGCCGATAGTGGATCGCGAAGGGCGATTAGTGGACATTTATGCCAAATTTGATGTCATTGTAAGTTTAAGGCTTTAAGATGAGTTTGTTGCTAAAGTGGCCGGTTCGATTGCAGAATTTAGCAGCAGAGAAAACCTACAACGATCTGGACGTTTCCTTGAAAAAGGCCAACGAGCACAGGAATGAGTGGTTTGAGGGTGTACATAACTGTAAATTAGATGAAACCTTGTTTAATGTGATGGAGAAAATTGTGCGAGCAGAGGTAAGTTTTTCTCTGCCAAACTTGACGTGCAACAAGAAAAATATGTGTTATTTCAGGTTCATAGATTAGTAGTAGTGGATGATGAAGGCAAAGTCATAGGGATAATTTCATTATCAGATCTACTTTTGTACCTGGTGTTGAGACCATGCGGAGAAGACGGCGGGTCGCCCGATGGTGGATCCTCCGTACGCGCTCAGGTATATATTTTCCAGCTTTACGCGGGTCCAAGCCTAACTAAGTGAATTTTCAGGATATAAGCAAGATTCAAGAAAAACTGGCCAATTCCAGTCGAGCATCCTCAAATGAGGAAGTGTCTCATACCATTCTCGAAGAGGAAGAGGGCGAAGAAGGCAAGGTCGCGGAGAAAACCGAGGAGGAAGAAACCTCTCCGGAAAGTAGCCCCGCTTTGGAAAAGAACCTACAAAACACTTTAACCCCTGAGAAGGCCATATTTCGCGAAGTGGCGGTTACGGGGGGAGGAGAGTGACAGCCCCTAAGTGTACAGTATAGTTTCTAACATTAATAGAGTAAAGAAACATGGTGATGATTGAATAAATGCGGGTTTTGTACAGTAAAATGCCTCTTTATCGTTAGTTGTGGTGCGGAATTGTTTCTGAAGGCGCGCGTACATGAGTGAACATTTCGGGTTTCCCCGATAAATTCTTAGTTGTTTCAATTTGATTATGCGGTTTTTCAAAACAGTCACAGAAAAGGTTTCTTTCCAGACAAACTGAGAAAAATTTTTGGTGGAGTTTGTTTTCATCAACTGTTGATTCAAATTGTCACACTTGAAATAACTGGCCGAACACATTTAAGTCAATTTGCATTTGCACACATTTGCAACACCAAAACTAACAGCTGAAGAATTCACACACTAAGTGAAGAAGTCAAATCAACCATTGAGAAGCTTGTTACATTCTGAAGGAATCACAAAATGTATTTAGTATCGGCAATATTTTCACTTGATACGTCAAAGATGATACAAAAGTTATGCGGTAACTGAAAGAAAATGTTGTGAATCATCTGAAAAATGTGCGAGGTTTGCGATTATTTTGAATCTAAATAGATCAGTTAATGAAACTATACAACCTATAATTCAGTGTATAAATTGTACTTAATGTAAGGAATATACCAAAGACTGCTTGTATTTTTGGTTTTACGCAGAAACAATTCTTCTGATGAATCTATCTACTAGTGCTTTATTTATTTATGTCGATTTATACGACGCGTGACTGCAAAATGAGAAGCTCGTTTACTATGTAGAAAATTAAAGTGTTTGCACCAGACGAGTTATTCATTTTGTGTGGCCATGTATTTTCAACGTATTGATAATAATGGTATACATAGTGTACAATAATTTAATATAACACCATAGATGAAGCCATTGTTGGTTAAAATTTTACTAATAAGTATATATAAATACTGTTAATATTAAATTTTTGCGAATACAGTTTTTTAGAAAGGAGTAAGCAAATGCCTTAATTTTACAATGAAGGATGTTTAATAAGTCAAGTCTTAAGGAATAAAACAGATATTTGAAATCAGACATTTTTAACAGTATTTCAACTACTACTCATACCTTTGCTTCCACGGCTCAAAATAACGACACCTGCTCCTTTTCCTTCTTGCCACTTCCTTTGAAGAATCGAATGTACGAGGTGATCAAGTCGTCCATTTTGTAGCCTTGCGATGTTTCACATAACACCTTAGTCTTCCTCATGATGTTTCCTATGGTAAGCTGGAAGTAGGTGTTTCCTGAGCCCCAATTTGCCAATTCCGCATAATCGTGAATCGCCAATATATCCTGAAATTGTTCGTTCTAGATGTGCTACAAGTCAATTTGAGCGGACTCACTTTGGTTTGCGGGTGAATGATGTTCACTCCCCTTTTATTGATTGCAATGATTACTATTTCAGGATACGACGGTTCGGTAGTCTGCTTCACCTCGAAGAAGGTGGAACCGAAAGTGGGCCAATTGTAGATCGCCTTTAGGAACCCTTCTTTCGCTTGCTCGATGCTGATGTTTCCCAGTTTTAAGTACTCGGAGGTAATGGCTTTTTTCCATTCCGAAGAACTGGCCGCCTTTTGGAGATCTTGCGGAATGAACTCTTTGTAGTTGTTTTGTATCACCTGGTTAGTATGAAACCATCAGTTTAAAATCGCCATTAAAAAGGCATATTCTTACTGATTGGACTTGATTATCATTGCTGTCGAATCGAGCCCTCAGAATGAAACTGGCGAGCTTGACGGCGTCCTGTTTGGAGCATTTGTGGTACCCTTTGAGGTATTTCGGCACCTCTTGGTGATAGTGGAAAATCTGGTCGGCGTTCGGACATTTCCCCGGAACTGTGTTCACCCACAGTTTTTTCATGAAGAAGACTTGGTACTGTGCCTGTACTGGCGCTGCACCTGAAAAGCACATATTTAACAACTTAAAAAAAAATTGTTCACACACTAACTTCCCCAGCTTGGTTTGCTGGACCTCATCCAGTTCATCAGCTCGCTCAAAAAGTCGTAGAAGAAATAATCCTCAGGTATGGAGAAAACTTTGTCGGAAATCGCCACGAACAAGCTGAAGCCATCAGCCGCCTCCAAATCCAACCTCACTGAAATGTTCTTGCAGAGTTCGGAAGCGCGTGTCATCGCATCCACTTCGAAAGCCTCATCCGAATCGTCTGGGAAATAGATTTTGTGATAGATTTCCATGCTTCTGGCCTGGATTGCTTCCACCTCTATGGAGTAAGGTGGGAACTTCCTCGGCCCCACTTTTTGAGTTTTCTAAACAACACTCCGGTGTGAGAGTCCGATAGGGAATGAGCGCTGCATTTACCTGTAACCTTTGCAAACAAGGCTCGATGAAGGGATGAACTCGGGACTTGAGGAATTTCCTGGTCTCTTCCAGTAAACTGATGCTCGGCACAAACAGCCCAGTGAGGAGGTACATTAATTCCCAACCCTTTTCCTCACTCAGTGACATTCTGAAATTAAAAAAAGCTAGCGGAGCTTGTATTATGCGCCTCGTGTTCTCACCTATTGAAAGTCAGCTGCCTCATAATCTGGCAGTAAAGTTCGTCTTTCAGCATTTCGATCTTCAACGGGGAGGCGAAGATTTGATCGGTGTATTCATTGGAGTATTTGGCTTTCGGTGCTGGTAGGTCTCCCATGTACCTCAAAATGGCTGGAAATTGATTGTTATGAGAAAAAATATATGAACTTTATTCAGGTCTATGGAGGCAGAGCTGAATAAAGAAAGACTCGAAGCGTCGCTCATTTCCACAGTCACTATTTTTGCCAAGTGGAATACCATGACTCACATGTGAAGATGTTGCATGCTTCTTTGCTGGCCTCTTCATGGTCAGACACCTTCTGAAGCATGGGTTGATAGATCGGTTCGTTGGTGTATTTCCACAGTTCTTCTTTCGAGTTTCTTCGCGCGGCTGTGAACACTGAAGGCCTTCCAACGGGGGTGATTCTGCGGGCGCTCCTGAAGTGCTCCTCCCCGTAATGGGACAACGTGTACAACTTCATGCGTTGTATGGTGGACATGGTGGGAGCCACTTGGGAGGTTTCTAAAATGGATTGCAGTTGGTGTGGTCAGATTCGGCGGTCGCTGACTTACCGCTAACAACAATGTCTTTTTTGAATGAGACCAGAATGTCTTGAGGAGGCGGCGCTAACGTGGGCAATATGTAGACCATTTCAGTGTGGAAATCGCCAGATTTCCCGTTACACTCGCCATAGCCCCAAGTGGCCGTTAAAAGCGTTTTACCAGTGGAATTGTTCTTCAGGGTTATCAAATCGCCTTTCTTGAACGAGAGGAATGACTCCCCGACTTCAGGCTGGAATTGATAGGTCTTTTTTTTTCTTTCTCTCAAAAAGGTCTTTAACTGTAAAAGTATCACCCTCATTTACTATGATTTATTTTTTTACATACCTTGTAATCTTGAGTTGCCACGCAGTAAACTGATCGCTTCCTCAATCCATCTATAATGAACTGTATTAGAGAGCACAAGTCTTTCGCGTCTGGGGTGTGAAACACGTACTCTTCTTTGGCCACCTAAAAGTCGCCAGATGTAACATGTTTCTGTCTTTGCAAAGCGTGAATCACTTACGGTGGTAAACAGGACTTTATGCATATTATTGGACTGCTCAAAAGTAATAAAGAATATATCGGCAAAAGTGAATTCTGCCAGAATCTGCTCCTGGTCATCGATCATGTAAATGCCGGTCCAATTGATTGCAATTATAACGTTTTTCTTCGGCAATTCCGGGCCGGAGATCTGAAGAGCTTCGTAGAACTTGGAGAACAATATCGGCCATGTAGATTTGCTGGATTTTTGAAAATCATATCAGTATATCTGTGCTGGGGGGCATTCATTTGAAGAAAGCGAGGAAAATTGTGGAAGGTTTTAACAGTTAAAGAGTGCCGCCAATGTTGCATCACCCTCTATAGCAAAATGTACGACATAATTCAGAGCATTCCTTACCCATAAATGACTATAAACTCTTTGGCTTTGGCGGGCAACATTTTCTTTTTAACGCAAAGCAGCATCTGGAAGGCGTCGGTTATTTTCGACAGCCAGTCATCCAGATTTCCGTGCGCGTGCTTTACAATAGCCAGTGGCAGAAATTCGCCGATTCTGCTTTGCAAAACCTGAAATTATTTACCAGAAGTACTAAATTTACCAGAAAAGTTATTAAAATTGAACGAATCAATACCTTGGGGTTCAATGGGGCGCCTTCTTCAATGTAGAAGCGCGTTGCTATCAAAGTGGCCACGTCTCCGTCATGAGGCGATCGGTACTCGCCAGTCTTCAAACCTTTGAATATCTGCAAATTAAAAAAATGCAAGTCTTCAATTTTTTACAAACTTCTTTTTGGGTATTTCGCCTCAAAAATTTTTGTCTTTAAAAAAGACAGAATTTCCTCACGTCTTTTATTACAGATTGATAAATAGTGCTCCTATTTCGCAATAAGAACGAATTATTTATCAAAAAGTAATCAAGAACTATCAATTAAACTATCAAGAACTTCAACTACTATCTTCAATTTTTTTTGCACATCTTCCTTTCAATTTACTCCAACGATTTCAAAACTTTTCAGAGTTTCATTCTTCAGGTCAGGTTCCTCGCAAAAGATTTCCTCTTTTGCTACCAACTATTACAATTTGAAAAATATCAAATACCTGCTGATAAATCAAATCTGTCGCCACTGGATCTTCAGCTGGATCGTGCCAGGGGGCGAACATTTCCTTGCGAAGGAACATCCTCCAAGGACTGTTCTTCTCATCGTGTCCCAACTCTTTGGAGTATTGTTCACATTGCGAGATTGCGTCGAGCACATGATCGCTCTCACTGCCCAAAGACATCACCTGTAAATCATTTTTTGAAGTGATAACTTTTTATGGGAAGGTGAACCGATTTTTCTCGGTGCAATACAATTTGCATTGTATTGCACGATTCAAAGCTCCGAACTGGTAAAATATTACTACCTGCTTGTTTAGTGATTTTCATCGGATACAATTGTTAAACCAGATGTTGAGCGGATATTCCCTAAAGAAAGCAGGGTCAATTTATGAAAAACGCTCAAGATTAAGTGCAAATRAAGTGTCACAACTATTATTAATAACTTTTAATGCAATAATATGTTCTAATATTTGTTATTTTATTTTGTAACAACAAATTATCAATATTTAGATATATATTTTGTAATCTTTCATATTTAACATAAGATGATAAACATCATTACTGTTTTGTAATAATATATAATAAATATATTTTGAATTTAATTGAAAAAATATTTGAGTTTACCTCGGTTATTTCAGAAAACATGGGTTCCGTCTTCTTATTTTCTATCACGCAACGCATTCTTGATGTTAAGACGATACGAATCTCTCTTCAGCTTATAGTTGCAAAATATGTAAAACAAATTTATTAGGGCTTATTTTCAATTCTCTATATTATTTCTATGATTAATTGTGTTTACCACGCTTCAAAATGGATTTTTTCCTTCATATACCCTTTGATTCCTTTATGATTAAATCTTCTCAATATAGTTTAATTTTTTTAGCCTTGGATTAGTTCAGTTAGAATTTTTTTTTGAACATACGCGCGATAGCTTACATTATGTTTGCATATAGTGTGTCAAGTGTATCATGGCTCTGTAGCTCTTCCTCGTTTTACCGACTATTTTAAACAGATAGAACGTCTTCCAATCACCAAAATTAATTGATTTTTTAATTAATTTATTTGATTTTAAGTTATGACTTCTGTCGAGCGTCCCGTGACGCACACCATTTTTTTTATTTAATTTTTAGATCAATCCCTCCCTGTAGACTTACTTTGTCATACAAGCTGATGAACAGTGAGAACCCAAACGTATCCTTCAGATTGAGAACTTTGGAAATGGCTGTGATCACTTCCTCGGCTGTGGTGGCAGAATCGATTTCAATATCCAACACCGAGTCATCCAGCAGACTGATATGAAGAGGCACCGGCTTCTTATTCTACAAAAAACCCACTTTTCGTCTGGATATTCCCAACTTTACTTCTTCGAGCTTTTTACCTTGTTGGCTATGAGTTCCAGATAGGTGGGCGGTTGGGTGCGATTGCCGTTCTTCATGGTTCTCTTCAACCGGCCCTCGGTGAAGGGCGCATACCCTGGTGGACCCGCCTGAATAAACGCCCTCAAGTAGGGCAAGAAGCGATCAGACGGTAGGAAACAGCCTACACACAGAGAAAGCAGAATCCAACCGCGGGCATATGAAGATCGGCTGTAGTTGTTTGTGAGTTGCTTGCAAATGATGCATAAAATCTCATCCCTGAAATGACAATTTTCTAGTTTTACAAAGTTTTTAAGAAAATTATAAAATCTAAACTAGTAGCTAAGGAGACATTATGTACTCACAGCCGAAAATTATTCTTCAAATTTAGGGGCGACAGAAAATAAAAGTACTCAATTAAAACATTTTTAAAGTAAGTTTACGCTTAACCGGCATTCTTTGATTCAAAATTCTCTTCGTCATATGGTAAAGGTGCTAAACGAGCACATTTAGAAAATATTCACAATTATACAGAGTGCTTGTGAAAAGTTGCATTGCAGAAAACAACTTTTTCCCAATGTATTACGCAATATTTTAGTACACTTTTCAATGTTTATATAACGTTCAACTAGTTTTTGCTACGTAAATATGAAAGAAAATTTAATAGTTTTTTAGTTATTGGACTTTGACTATGAAAATTCGCATTTTGATTTCATGTTAGTCGTCGTCTTTAGACCCAAAATGTTAAAATTTGTCTTTTACCTTAACTCAGGCCTGAGAATACCATGACCGATAACAAAGTGCAATTTCTCCAAATTATTCGTACGCCTACAATTCACCCAATCGCTGTAGCTTTGCAGCGCAAAAGTGTCCTCCACTAGACCCCTCTTAACATCCTCCAACAGTTTATTTTTCCTCTTCAGCGTCATGTTGATCAGCTTCTGCCTATCGGACTTCTTAATCGAGTTCATTTGCCGCTGTTCCTCTTTCACTATTTGCTGATATTCTCTTCGATTGGTGAATCCTCGGCTGATCGTTTGATTCAGCTCAGCCATCACTGGAATAATCGGTCCTTCGTTTTCTTTACTAACTGAAAATAGAGAGTTAATTCGATCTGCAAAATTCAGCAAAATGGAGTTTTGCAGCCAAATTTTCCCTAGCTTTGGAACCGGATAAATTCTGATTGCTTCGCACAATTTAGTTTCTGTTTGAAGCGCTAATGAGCCCCATTTGATTTTGATTAGTCAATGTTTTCGTAAAAATTAACCACAATTAACAGATACATTTTCTACAGGACGGCAAATGAGAAAAAAGTACAAAATTTCGTAGTTTCGCATGTTTCTAGTCGGACAAAAATGAGTCAGTCAGAGGCAAAGATTTCTCAAGAAACTAAGCACCCAAACTCCTGATTTTTGCGCGCTTCCTAAATATCGATTTCAATCTGGACGTTTTTACCCAACTACACTACATGCTTAAAAAATCGCATCTTTCAAACTAAAGCACGCAGCTATTTGAGACTTTCACTATTTTTAGAAGATACCTGATCTTAAAGACTAGGAGAGTTTCATAAATGTCGCGCTGAATCTTGAATTTTGCTAATTTTAGAAATATTGGTCTCAAATTGGGAGGCTTTTACCTAATTGCGCTCCCTTTTTTTAAAATTCGCAATGTAATTGTACGTAATTCCAAAGTAAAGCAATCAGTCGGTTTAAAACTGCACTTGATAGAAAAGCCTTGACACTAAAGAAACAGAGAGTTTCATAATTGTAGCGCGCAGTGATTATAATTTTTCCAGCTTTGAAAAATCGGTCTCAAAATTAAGGTTTCACGCCATTGCGCTCTCGCCTTTAAAAAATTCGCACCTTCCGAACTGAAGTAAGTGGAAATTTGAAATTTTTTGCATCTTTGAGCGACGATTCATTCTTCAAACGCAGGGAATTTCATTAAAATCACCCAAAATCCTGATTTTTTGCAAATCGGTACATATCGGCCTTAAAACGAACGTTTTTACTGTCAACTGTGTGCTCTTCTTTAAACATTCGCAACATCCGAACTGGAATAATGAGTAATTTAAAAAAATTTCCATGTTTAGAACACAGTTGGCTCTAAAGATGCAGCAAGTTTCATAGAAATCTCCAAAATTCCTTACTTTTGCCAGGTTTTAAGATTCAGTGGCAAAATGGATGGTTATATTCAACTGCGCTCTCTGCTTTGAAAAATTCGCATCTTACAAACTAAAGCAATCAGGAATTTGAAACTTTTTCTAACTCTATATAAAACTTGATTCTGCAGACGCCGAAAAATTTTAGCCCTGAATGCTTATATATTTTTTAGTTAATTAGAATAAAATATGTAAATTAATGTTTATCCAACCGCACACTCTCTTCAAAATTTCGTATCTTTGAAACTAACGAAAATAATAATTTGGAAGTTGCACCATCTTTAGAAGACATTTGGTTCTAAACACATTGAAGGTTTCAAAAAATTTGGCTCAAATCCTGATTTTTTGCGAATTTGATATATCGACGTCAAAGCGAACGTTTTTAGTCAACTGTGCGCTTTTCTTTAAACATTCGCAACTCCGAAACTGGAATAATGAGTAATTTAAAAAAAAATCCATGTTTAGAAGATAGTTGGCTCTAAACATGCTGCAAGTTTAATAAAAATTCCGAAAAAAAATTAAGAAATGGTGACAAAAAGGATGCTTATAGATATTCAACTGCGCTCTCGGCTTTAAAAAATTCGCATCTTTCTATAACACTTGATAAAATTTGTCTAAATTGACTAAATAACGCTTCAAACAGAAATCTAGCCAGTTCCAAAGTTAGTCCAAATTTGTCAGCGTAACGACGTTGTTGAGCAGCTCAAATTTGCCTTTAAACAACAAAGTTCAACTCCTGAATTTAAAAAAATCGAAAAAAATCCAACATACTTTTGGGCTCAGGCATGTCGCCCATAAACCTGGAAACAGCCGCCCATAAAGCTTGGGCGGCCAGAACGTCATCAGGAGTGGGCAGTTCGTGTAAAGCAGTTTTAGGTGGCTTCCGCGAATGTTGCGGCCCCGTGCCATGAGCGAAATAAGTGGCTGCGTATTTGCGGAAAGTGTATTCGGAAATATCCACAATGTCTGCAGGCGGATCCATAGCAAATCCAGACTGGAAAATATTTGCCAATTATATCGGTTGGGTTTAAACCGTTCAATTTCTCCCCTATTGGCCCCCAGGCAACATCTCCACAGGATGCCAATTTTCAATCACTTTTGTATCTTTTGGTAATTTTTTTTGGATGAAACCTTTCCCAGTCGGTGGATGGGAAGGAGAGAACCTATTGAATGGCCTCCTAAGGCGACAGATTTAACTCCACTAGATTAATTTTCGTGGCGTTACCATAAAACCGAAAGTATTGTTACAGGCCAAACAATCTGCATGAGTTCAACGAGAAGATCCAAAAAAATGTCTGTTATAACTCCGGAAATGGTTGAAATCGTGCAAGAGTATTTTAGTGGATATTGCAAACCCGAAAATAGCACATGAGTTCAACATTTGAATTGTTTAATGTTCCGTTTCTTGAAATAAACCGGTCTTTTTCAGGACTACAGAAACTTGAAAGAAATCGTCGGTTTATTGATAGGCCCGAGTTTAAAGTTACAAAAACTCCAAGTTTGCAAAGCTGAGCAATTTTCACTTACTTTGTGAGTTGACTGCTGTTTTTCTAATAAAATGGGATCCTCAAAGGACGATATTTGCGTTGAGTCTAAGAAGGCAAAGTTTTTATCTATGGTAGCTGCAGCCTGAGAAGCATAGATACTCTGTTGAATTTAATTGAAGAAAGCGCAGAAAATACTCACATTATCATTTCCGGGTTCTACGTCTTCGTATTCTAGTTGGCGCTCGTTGTTCTCAATGGCCGCATCAGCCAGACGTTTCCGTTTCAACTCTTCCGCCTCTTCTAGCGCGTTTTTCTTCTTCAGTCTTCTGAATTCTGCTTCGTCAATTTTTTTCTGGCGCACTATTCCATAGATGCGACCGAGTGGGCCTTTTGTACGCGATAAGTAACCTCGAGCTCTCGCTTGAAGGGAAATGATATTTTTCCGATTCGTCTGGTATTCGACACAGAGTAGCCGAGATCGGAGTTTTGACTAGAGAAGGAAGACAAAAAATAATTGTTTTCTCATGCAAGCAAAGTCTGAAAGCTCGCATTTGTTAACTGGATATGAAGAAACAGAGCGGTGGCTTCTCTTCAATTTCTTTTTCAAAGTAAGGTCGCCGCAAGTTGAGGAAAGCGAATCTTTTGAAAAAGAAACGTCCATTTTTCGAATGTGGAACTCCGACTGCTCACCTGCAATCTCTGGTATCCATTTCGGAGCTTCAAGTATCTGCTTCGGAAACCGCGAGCTCGGAAATGCTTCTGGAAAACGATGGCCGCGGCCCGGAGTCTGAGGAACCTCCTTCGTTGAATCCATCCCTTGATTGCTTTTTGCAGAACCAAGATATACCTTTCAAATAAAATCAACGAAACTGATAAATTTTTTATACAGATGCAAGATAAGCAAACGATTAAAGACCCAAATTACTCAGAATACTTCCGTATATACCACTATATGGTTTTTCTGCATTTTTTGCGCAGAAACATTATACTTTGACTACGAAAACATGCCAGTATTTAAACACTGTGAAAAGACTGTGATGATATTTTCCCGAATTAAGACATTTTTGCAACATCTTTACTCAAAATTTTACATTTCTGACCAAGTTTTACATAGTTTTTATAAATTGATTCGTTCATTCTTCGGCTTATAGCTTTAGATTTTTTTACACACTTCCTTTACTGTTTGGTGCCAACGAAGGTTTTCATTAATAATTTTCGAACTATTCAGAGTGTCCGCATGTCGAAATTCAAGAATATCACTTTCTTCGGTTGCTTCCTTTGAGCTCAAAACTCAACATGTAAAATTCGACTTTTGCGACGAAATCTGTTTACTGTTTTTCCAAAAAAAATCTCAAATGACACAAATTGTATTCCAGTTTAGTTGCAAGGAAGTGAGGAATACAACGACCTCACAAAAAGACAAGTTAGATTCTCTTGATGCGAACTAAGATTTTTACACCCTTACGAAGCACGTGATCTGTTAGGGTATGTTTGTTTTCCATTCGCATTAACTTTTTTATCATTTTGTAAATCGTGCATTTTCCTAATTTTCTTTGCTTTTACATCAACGTAGACCAAAAATGTACATTTCTGCAAAACCTCTCAGATAGATTTTTTCTTTCCGCAACATTCTAATATTTCAAGCGCCATGGCTTTTCTGGTCAATTAATTTGCAAAGGTTTATACGGAAATGTATCGTTTCACCAATTTGTGTTTATTTTTCTTATAGGGAAGCAAAATTAAATAAGAGACAAATTCAGCTAATATTCAAATTATTCATGAATCTCTAAAACGCAATCCTATTAGTTGTGACGTCTCTGGTAATATAAATGGCGGATTGTTTACGTTCTGTGCATGGTGTTTAGTTGTGTGGTTGTGTTTCATTAATTATTTTGTGGATTTAAATAATTTATAGTTTGTGTTAAATTAAAAAATCGCTTCAGAATGATTCCTTAAAGCGTCAACGAACAATTTACCATGTGTACATATCTTTATAGTTGCCGAATTTTTGAAAAACAACGAACGCTTTAATTCAGCCGAATTGAAGGCTCTCAAAGCAGCGTAAGTACAAATTCGTAAATTAATTATTAGTTACTCTCTCCTTAATATACTAATCTGTCCGTATTGTTTTAAATTAGGTAAATGATATATAGAATTTCACTTATTCAACTTAACCTAACTTATACACATGGCTGCTTTAAAAGTAAAATGAACTCTTAAATTTGTATTTTGGGCATCACCAGAACAATACGGTGATATCGGATATGTGGAATTGAAACGCGAGGGTTTTTGTGCACTGTACAAGGTAGAATTTGCCCAGAACACAAAGTACGATCGAAGGCATATTCTATCTGCCTCATTATTAGCTTTCTGTTCGTTCTTTCATTACAATGATCCTCGCAACAACAAAAAAACATTGATTTTAATTTAGGAACATCACGTCTAGCTGCTTTGAACCATAAAACTTTACGTACATAGTCATGAGGAACGGTTAGAAAGAGTTTGTTTGGAGCACTTATTGAGGTATTCTTGCATCCTGGCACAAAACACCGTTTATTTTCTGATCCATACATTGCACTATTTTCCATTATGCAAGATAAAAATAATCAATAAAATAATGATAATCAGAATAACTTAAGTAATAAAACAAAGCTGCGAAAACAACAAAATAAACACGAGACACTTTATTGATATGACCTGCTACGTCACAATCGGGATAGGCAATAGTAGGATAGGCATATCTGATTTGAATTTAAATTCGCTTTAAAATTATTATGGAGACTTTTTTTGCAAAAAAAATTGTATCAGTGTCATGTTTGCCATAACTACTTTCTATATATCAACGTTTAAAAAAAAGTGAAAACACCCTATTCCCAATTCATCTTGAAATAATGCTCGTAGCAAGTAAAAATTCTACGCACCTGGCTAGTAGCTGCGACCTCAACTCTTCCAGCTTCTCACTATCAATATGTTTCAAAAAAATCTTCGTGTGTCCCAACTGGAAATCTTCACCATTTTGGAAAATCTGCGCGCATATTTTCTTGGTTGATTCCTTGCAATCGCCCTTGCTGGATGGTGATATTGCCTTCCCTAAGAAACCTCCTATAACCGAACCCGCGTAGGAAATACCAGGAACTTACCTAAATATCTGAACCGATCCACAAATTCCTCATAGGTATACCTAATGGGGTAACCAGCCTGTCTGATCTTAGCCGTTTCCATCATTCCCGAGTACCGCAATTGTCTGCAGCACAAAGCTCGGTCGAAAATCTGCAAACTTCCTTAAATTAGCTCACAAATTTCTTTCCAGTCCCCCAATCTGAACATACTTGGGGTTTCTTCAGCTCGTTGGGCTTGATGCATCTGACAAAGAACGGATGGCATGAACCCAACGTGTTCATTAACAGCTCCAAAGACGTTTTGAACTGAGAAGACAAAGTCACCATTTTCTTGCCGTTGGCCTCCTGGCCCAATTCGTCCTGGAAAATGTTCCTGAGCATGTCGTTTCTAGTCTTCGCGATCAGATTTTTCAAGTCCTGACTAAAGGAATCTCGATTCTTGTCCAGGAAGCCTACAAAAATTCTGTTAAGGAAGTTGAGACGACATCCGTCTTCGCCTCACCAGGTACATCGTAAAACACCGAACCGGCAAAATGCTGTATGCCAAACGACGGCGTCATATCCGATTTGGGTTTCAAATAATATCTATTCCCTCCATGTTGGCCGTGCAGTTTCGTCAGCATTGAAAAGTCAGTTCCTTTGGGAAACTTCGTTTCCTCATCGATGAGCGACAGAACGTTCATGGGCTTTAACCCGATCATATCCAAAGCCTGTTGATTATCAATGAATTCGATTTTCGACCAGTTGATTCCTTCGTTTGTGTAATAGTCCTGTTCGAGTTTAAAAATGTGCTGCACGAAAAACTGTTGCAAATTCTCATTGGCGTAGTTGATGCACAACTGCTCGAAGCTGTTCACTTTGAAGTTTTCGAAACCGAAAATATCCAGCACGCCAATGCACTTTTTATGGGGGATTTTCGGCCGATAAATTGCCTCGTTGATTTTGTTCACGATCATTATGAACATCTTGCCATAAATTCCTTTGGAAAAGGCGTTTCTTGACTCTGCAGCGTGTTGTTTGGACAATGTGGCCACCACCTAAACATCAACATTTCGGTCAATTCTAATAATTAATAGGCGTTAAGTCGGGGCTAATGGAGGGGCCATGGGATCAGACCAGCTCGTCCAATCCAAATTAAAATGTTCATTTAAAAAAATTATTACCGGGCAAACGTTAATATGAATAAGATATTTAATTATTTATTCTCAATGCTAAATGTCCTTTTTTTGTGCTCGTTTCATGCTCTTTTGTCGCATGCTATACAACTTTGTTGTTTCGATGAGAATAAATTGATTAATAATGCACAACTTTCCTGTTAACCAATTTTTGACAATTTTTTGAACTAATAGCTCGAGAGGAGGTCTTAACTTATAATGAAACACCCTGTACAAAAAATGTGTTAATGTGTTAAACTTACAGTGTCTCCGTGTGCATAAATAGTGCGTTTTGTTAAGGCTTCGGCCAACTCCACTTTGCTCACAGCGAGCAATGAGGAGATTCTTTCGTTCAGGTTTTGATCGGCAACGTCGGAACTTTCCGAGTGCGATGAGGAGCCAGACTTGAACCTCAAGTTTCCCAAATGCAGAATCGCAGCCAGCAAAATGAAAATTTCGTTGGATTCCTTGTCGCTGAAGTTCAGCACCTTCAAAGCGCCCGAAATTTCGGAAAATTCCTTTGCTTCATCGCGCCCATCGCAGCTCAAAGTTTTGCCACCTGCAGGAAAACCTTCATTAAAGAAATATTTACACCAACATTTTCAGTAACTTTTTATGGAAGGAAATTCATGAAACATTTCTTCAGTTAAACGCACTGCATGGATGTTTTCATAATTTATGCGAGTATGATTCGCATTTCGTTATTTTTTTATAACTTAAATTTTGTTTCTTTACATCAACTTTCGTTGCATCCAAATCTGCACCTTTAAACTCTATTAGCAGACAATACAACATCGTTTTTTTAACTACCTGAAGTTTTAATAGAGGTTTTTAAAGAATCAACTAACAGTTTTTCTATTTTTGTTGTTTCTAAAGTTTTGTTATCCGACTAGGAAGAAAGGAACATTTTGTGAGACTAAAAAGTGCATAAACAGATTAGACTGAAACTACTTATTTTTTTTAATTATCATGTTTTTTCTTTTTTCTTGCAATTCGATTCAAACGTATTACTAGTTATTTGCTGGAAGAGAGCCATTTTTTTTCAATCTTCACATCAGAAAGACGTCTTTAACGGTCTTGTAAAAAACGATTGCTATGAATGCCCTTAACAAACTATCTGAAATAAGCAAATTGATGCAAAGAAGCAAGGAAAAGTGAAAAACCTGCCATCGAAGCAGAGTTTTTCCACCTGCAGGAAAGCTTTCATTATTCAAATAATTCGTATTAAAATATTTAGTTGCTGTTTATGGAAGGAAATTGAGAAAATATGTTTTCAGTTAAACGCATTACAGGAATATTTTTTCCCATAATTTATTCGACTATGATTCGCATTTCGTTATTTTTGACTTTTTTCTTCTACATTTTGCATCAGCTTTCGTTGCTTTCAAATCTGATACTTTAAACTCTATTAGCAGAAAATTCCTATAGATTTTTGAAAATCAGGGTCTGTTATATATTTTTTTGTTTTTCTAGCTTAGTTATCAGGCAAGGAAACTGTTTTTTCAAATGAAATCAAATCAAAATGTTCTTTATTGCCACGGAAAAATTCACAAATGTTATGGACAAAGCGAGTACAAAAACAGAACAGAATACACAATATATAGTACATACAGTGCAGTCAACAATGGTATAAAAATAAAAGATAAAACAATACAAAAAAAATTATTTTAAGTTATATAACTTTTATCTGTTGTCTTGCACTTATTACTAGTTATTTAAAGTGCTACGCAATTTTCTCGATCAACACATCAATACAGAAAAATTCTCTTAGAGTCTTGAAAAACGGTTACTTTGAATTATCTGAACAAAACATCTCAAATAAGCAAATTAATAACAACTGGGCACAAATGCAAAAAAGTGAAAAAAACTGCATTGAAATATTTTACTTGCAATTTAGTATTTTGAAAAAAAGGCTCATCAAGAAAAAAAATTAAAATCTGCAAATTTCTCTGATATTTTCAGCCAAAATTGTTTGAATTGAAATAACAATTCAATGTACAAGAGGTTATCAGAAAGGGCACTTTTGAAGTGAAAGTTGCGCAAAATTTCAATTACAAGTAAAAAGTGTAAAACATTGTTTGTCGAAGACTTACAGAACGAAATGTTTTTATTTTCTCAAACGGTAGCAGAAAACATAAATGCAGCTGAACAGATTACCTTTATGGAAGCCTCATTTCATTTACAGCTAGAATTAAACCAGTGGATTTTTTTTAAATTCAAACGGAAAATAGCATAGAATCCAAACAATTTACAATAGCGGCTTAAAAATTGAACGTTTCAGCCAAAAAATAAATAAATAAAAATCACCCAATCTCCAAATTTTACTCCCAAAAATAAAGAAAAAGCGAAGGTAAAGCGTATAAAATGCCTTTTTCTACGCTTAACCCTTTTTACTTATTTGATCGCTAAAGTTTATTCTGCGTGTTTAAATGCCACAATTTCAATGTTCAAAACGTGGTTAATTCGAATTTCTCATCGATTCATACAACGCTTCCAGAAATAAATGCAACTATTTGAAGAAAAGTCTTCCATTTGCCTTGTTAGATAGGGAACTTTGTTCGCAGAACAGACAGAACAGAATTTTACAATACGAGAAATTGGAAATCATTTTACTTATAGTTGGATACACAGTTTAAAACGAAAAAAACCCCAAATATTTGTCTGTTGATATTTTTTCGTTCAACACAACACTTTCCACGAAAATAATGGACAAAATATTTTTCTACGTGAAGTTCATGCAGGTCTTGATATGCATTGAATCGCACCTTACCATTTTACTCAAAAGCATTGGGTTCGATAAAAATGTTTCAAGAGACACGAAATGGGCCCAATTGCATTGCAGCCGCAAAATTAACGCATAGCTTAAACGTTTTGAACATATTTCATTTCGGCTTACCAATCAAATACTCATAAGCTTCAGGGTCGCTCAAACCCAACCTCTTCTTGTCCTCTTTGGGCAAACCAGCTAGCATACTGTAGAATATGTGGTAGTTCCTTTCGCCCTCATTCTGCGAAACAATGCGACTTTTCTCGAGAAGATACTGCGCTATTTTGGCGCCCTCAATCGCACCTGCAAGGTGGTTGAAGAATATCACCAAATCTACTGAATAAACCTTTAGTGGGTACCTTGAGTGTTGAAGTCGATGTTAATGTATTTGCCAAATCTGGACGAGTTGTCGTTCCGGACGGTTTTGGCATTTCCGAAAGCCTCCAAAATGGGGTTGGCCTCCAAAATTTGCTGCTCGATCCAAGAGTGCTGCCCACTGGTCGAAGCCAAATATTGCAAGATCAGTTTGGTGCTCTCGGTTTTACCCGCCCCCGATTCTCCACTGGAATTTCATTGATTTTTATAGGGCATTTTGATGCACTGGAACTGATCTCACCTGATGACAATGCATTGGTTTTTCCTGGTTTTTTTCATGTCATTGTAGCTGTTGTCTCCCACAGCAAAAATATGAGGCGGCAGCTCATCAAATGTCTTGTCTTTGTATTCGTTGATCAAGCTGTTGGTGTAAATCGGCAAAAATTCGTAAGGATTTACCGCCACCAACATGGTACCCGTATAAGTCTAAAAAAAGTTTTCTCTATAGAAAACGTCATGTCCGTTGGGAAATTCACTGTTGGGAAGAATTTTTCGAGCTTTTTTAATACTGCGCAAGTACTCACATATATCTTCTTTTCCTTATATCGTTTGTGCAAGTTCCTCAAGATGGCATACTCCTGTAAATCTCCCAGATTGATCATGTCATCCACACCCATTTCTGAGCTGATGTGCATCAGCTTGAGCACCTGCTGTTTGGACACGTACACTTGTTTTTCATCATCGTCCACAATTTTCACTCGGCTCGACTCGATCGCAACTATTTTTCCTCCTACTGGGATGTCGAACTCACCATTGCTCACTTGACTTGCCCAGACGTAGTCTCCCTAAAAGAGCCACATTCCCAATAATTTTTATGTGTGGGCTTCTTTTGGGGCGAAAGGCAAACGAAAATTGATGAGTTATTCCGGATTTTAAACATTCTTTTAATTCTCGAATACGAAGTAATGTTCAAAGCGAGAGTGGAAATCAGCAGAAAGCAGTTTTTGGAGCTCTTGGTGTGCTGCCTCCCTCGAACACTCTGTCTCATCGAAAACTATTAATTCACATTATATTTTTTGGCCACATTTAAGATCAAAATCAAAAGCCAAAACCTCTCTATTTGTTCTCTCGGAATGTTGTCAATGAAGTCAATGAGAAATTTAAAAAAAATTATATACTGAGTGAGCCAGTTTTATTTCGGCAGAATTCCGGCATTCGATACAGCTGCTGATTCTGAGCCACGTTTGTCATGTCGAGAACGGCTCGGTTTTTGAGTCACAGAGTATCAAAATTTTCTGAAATTTTGTCTCATATGTTCTGTAGTTTTTGTGAAATTATATTTAAATTTTTGTTGCAATTGACGTGTTTCGAAAACGTACAGGGGAAGATTTTTTGAAAGTAATCGCGCGAACCGCTGAAGAGTAATTTAAAAAAGATGCTCAAAAAACATTTTATTGAGCAAACAATATATTTTTCACAAAAATTTGCTAAACGTAATTTGGAACTAAACTTTGTATGTCAGACATTAAAAAAGTCTTATTCATCCTCCATTTGCCAGCTGATTACAGCCAAAAAGCTCAAAAAATAACACAAAACAAGGAAAAAGTATGTCAAATTTGCAACGGATTGCAAATTCAGTTCAAATTTCAATTTTCCAAATTGCCGATAGAAAATTTATACGATAAAAAATTAAATGAGTGAGTGATAATAACATAAAGTGTAAGTGTGTGTTATTTTCCAATTTATTAAAAAAAAAAAAAATTTAATTCGTTTGTTACTCAACTCGTTCTCGATTTAAACAATGAATACTTTTGGCGTGGATTTTATCGATTTCTTTAAATAAATTATTTTTAATAAACAATTAAACATCAAACTGAAAAAACTGAACGCGAAAGTAAATGTTCTTAACGCTTTGCATTGGTTTATTCACTCATTTCGGATAAATTGAATTTTTTTCATTCCTAAACACCCTGCACGCATGACAAATGATTTTCGGACTTTCATTTAAAGATCAAAAAGTTATCAAATTGTCAACGAGATTCGACAAGCGTTTGAGACAAAATTTACTTAAAACAAAGTTTTCCATCTATTTTCGCATAGTAAGCAAATATATTATGCTGAATCAGGAAGGAAACGATTGCAAAAAAATCGTCACTGTTCCAGAAACAGAAAATTTCCCACTTCACACACAAAGATCTTAGAAAAGGTGGATTAATAGACTGTAAAAATGAGTGAAAATTGACTGGAATAAATTAACAAAAAAAAATTCTAGGGGTTAAATCAGGGAATCGAGATGGCTTTCCAGATCCACCTGTATGCATATTCCGCATTCCGATGTTCATTACACATCCAAGCAATGTAATCTAGAAAAGTATATCTAAATCAACTGATTTTACCGAGCTCAACTACAAGTGGACCAGTTTTTCTATCTTTCCATCCGACTCAAATATGAGTAATTACCATTAAAATAGTGGGCTTTATTAAGATTATTCGAAAGTAGCCACTTACTGCGAACAAAAATATCCTAAGTTGATCGTTAATTTTGCCTAATTAATAGTTTTAATCTGGACAAGTGTTGAATGTTTTTGAGTCACAGCATTTAACAATTATCCAGTCTAAGACTATGTTGGGGTGAACGCATGATTTGTTAATGTATGCATGTGTATATATTAATTGTCTAGGAATTTTCAATGGAACAGTGACAAAAACAACACAAAATCGCCTACTTACAACGACCAGGCCAGTTGTGGCCATTTTGCTGAATAAAAATCGGGATTAATCCCTAACCGCGCACTGATTTTCGATACACAACCGTGCTCGGCTTATTAATCCAAAGATGACGTACATTTACAACCTCGAGTCATGTCTATATTAACAATAACCGTGTAGCTAAAAGGAATTAACCGAAAAGTTACCGATATGATTATCAATGTAATCTTGCTGATAAAGTTTCATTTTTTTGACTAAGTTCCTCATTTAAACGAAACGTATATCAGTTCAAGTGGCTGGATTGGATCCACATGATGGAGGGTTTAAGGAGATTAGCGATATTAGCATTGCAGATAAATAAAATTGATATTTTCACTTTTGAGTGTTGTTTTATGATAATCGCAAACGTGAAATAACAGTTTTTAAGTGGCTTATCGGGCTCTGAATGTGCGCTGAACAAGACTGGGAATCTGATCGATTCGAAACCAAGGAGAGTCAACCCTCAAAGCATGAGCAAGCATTGACAATGTTTGGGTGAGTTCTGTTGGAATTTCAAGAAATGGGAAGCAAAAATTATTGAATACAAACTTTTGGAATTTTTTATTTGAATAATTTTCTAAACAGAAAAGCCTCTGAAGAGCTTACGAAACGTCAGAAAAAATGTTTTTACAACAGCCCATAAGCCTGAAAAATTCGGCAATTTCATGAAAAACCTCAGGAAAAACTCTTTTTCCAAAATGGATAATTGAAATGGAAAACAGGAACAGCAGGTCGAATAAAACACTCTTATAAGGATGCTCTGGTGCTTTATTGCTTAATCCTAAGAAAACTCCTTATGTCTTGCCAAAGGTCGATTATTGAAGCGCATCTGCAATCCTCCCCTTTACACGAAGAACCAATTCTGCAAAAGAACCCAGTTTCAACACTGTCATGCAATTAAAGCTTCTGCTTACCACTGGGTCGGCTTCATACATGCATTTATTGAAGTTGTAGGATTTCTCGCATAAATCTGCACCTTCTGAAAAAATCCAAACTAGCACATTGCCGCAAACGTCTTTATTATTCGGTTACCTTCGATGGTTCTGCATTTGTTCAAAGCACTTAGCAGCAGATCTCTAACCTCCGGATAGGCTTGGGTTTCGATAAAATCGTAATCGATTTCGCCTCCAGACTTCATCTAAACAACACACAAGTAAGAGTTTCATGGGTTTTAAGGCGCAAATATCTACTTACCCATTTTGACTCCAACATCAGACACTTCATGTAGCACTGAAAATGGTAATAAAATAGTGAAGCTGATGATGAAAAAGCATAGTTGAACTTACCATCATTTTTTCGTTTTTGTCGTTAATGTTATAGGTTTGATGGTCATCTACAAGCAAGAAAATGTGTGGAAAATTCTTTATTTGTACAGATTAGTAATAAGCAAATTATCAAAATGGAACCGTGACAATTTTGTCGGCTCAAAAAAAGAGACGCTCAAAAAAAGTCATCAGGTTTTCTGGGAATTTTCAATTCTCAAAATCTCTCAAGTATTAACGAAGTTGTGCCCTTTTTTGTATTATAGATTTTTCAAAAAAATGCTGTTATGGCCCTAAAAACCGTTCAGGATTATTCTACAATAAGAAAAACTGACTTTTTTGGCTCAAAAAAGCATTTTTCCTGCCGTCAAGGCGCGATAACTTTTTCATTGGATTTCTATTTAGACAAAAGCAGTTTTTCGGGAAAATCGTGCACGTTTAATGGAGTTTGCAATTTTTTAAATTAAATTAAACAAAAAAATTTTAACAAAATAATGTGGTTTTTTCAGTTTGAATTGTTTAGAAAAATTCGTTTTTGGTTCTTAAAAACGTTCAGGCTTCCCCCAAAGTACGAAAAATCATTTTTTTCATCTGATTTTAAAGCCTGATAATTTCAAAATTTTTCAATGAATTTTTATTTGTAAGAATGTGACTTACGAAACGATGACGGCTTTTCTGGGAATTTTCAATTCTCAAAATCTCTGAAGTAGTAACGAAATTGTGCCCTTTTTTGCATTACAAATTTTTCAAAAAAATGCTGTTATGGCCCTAAAAAGCGTTTAGGATTCTTTTAAAATAAGAAAACTGATTTTTTTTGGCTCGAAATTTTTCCTACCGTGAGCTGCTTCATTGGATTTTGGTTTAGAAAAAAGTGGTTTTGGGGGAAAATCGTGGGCTGCTGAAAAAACGCAACTGAACTAACGACTAAGACCTGTTTGTTTTGTGGGCCAGGAATTTTTTTTTTATCACTGATTGAATTATACCAGTGTTAGGAATAGGACTTAATTTTAGAATAAGCTAGGCTAAGACACATATGTACTACTCAACGAAAACTTAACTTTTTTAGGCTCAAAAAAGCATTTTTACTGCTTTAAGGCGCGATAACTTTTTTAGCCGATTTTAATTTTCAGGAAAGTGAGTTTTAGGAAAAACTGTGGGCTTTTGAGGAAGCAATCAGTGGCGAGTGAACAAAACAAGGCAATCAAAAATTTGTTTTGTTCGAATTTCTGCTTGCAACGTGCTGATGAAAGTCGAAATGTTAACTACAATTTGTGCGTAAATTAGCACAAAAATTACTCACTTTCGGTCAGTCCACCCTTTTCCAGGCACAGCTTATGTAAATCGTCCACATATTCTTGAAGCTCTGGAGGCAAAGTTATCTACAAAGCAAACGAAACACTTTACATACATTTAAAAGAAAATTTAACTACCTTAAGGCTGCTGGAAAACCCACAAATTGAGAAAAACACGATCAGACAAACCCGTAAACAATGCATCTTGTAAAATGTGCTTGGCATAGGTCGGTTTTGCGGTTTTATAACAAGCAAATATGAAAAACACGGGAATTTACTCATCAAAAAAAGACACATTAATAACCGATTTTTTGCAGTCGGAAGTGGGTTGATCTGAGTCTAATTAGTGGAGTGGGACAACAGGGTCATTTTTCCAACAATATATGAAACTATACTTGAAGAGAAACACTCTGCATATAAATATTTCTTAAATTTATCCCCTACCTTAGCATCCAGACTACCAAGCGCAAGAATCAGCAGAAGAAAGCTCACACTTTTGAACATCTTGAGAAGGAACTGGTTGATCAGTTGCCTGATTTCGTTCTTATATTTTTTTAGCAGGAATTAATTACCCGTCCATACCTGCTTGTTAACACACAGTTCTAATTACGGAGTTTTATATGCAAATCTGGCAATTACATGTGACAACAAGGAAATGTGTAATGAGTAATTGACTACAATGTGCATGTTTAAACAAGATTTAATGCGCGACTAGGAATGTTTTCCTGTTGATAATCTGCAGAAGGCACTTACCTACTTATTACGCTAATAAGACAAATTGATTTTTAGGATTTTCGAGTTTTAAGTTAATAAAGTGCTGATTTTTCTGCAAATGCTAAAGCTTATAATTTTTAGATTTTTAGACTTCTATGTAAAACGCCTAACAAAATAAATGCAATAAACAAACTAGATTTTGCAATCAGGTGAACGATCCAAACTAGTGATTTTTTGGACTGGAAGATGCAAAATAAACGCTACGCGACTCAATTTGCTCTGATTTTGGAACTTCGTAGGTTCTGATTGCTGCAAGCGATTTGACTTCTGTTTGAAGCCCTATTTGGTCCAATTCGTTTTCTGTTAGCTTTTAGGAGTTTCTTCCAACATTTTATGCCTTAGAGGAAGACCCCTACAGAATGGGAAATGAAACAATGCAAATTTTCTCATAGTTTAGCCCGATTGATCTCGCAGTTTTACAGAAAAAACGTTTTTTATGTAGGTATTTCAAATTCAAAGAGATGTCATGCTTTGAAACTTTTCGGATTTTTTGCCTATCGCTTTTATTTACAGGGTGGTCTCAAAAAATCCACTTTTGGGCCGATTTTTTGACCGGTTTTCAAAATCAACTGTTAATCTCTTCAATCAATCAACCCTGTCTATTTAATTTTTGTATTAAGCAGACGATGAAGTTCTCGCTTCAACATGAGTTGTTAAAAATCAGTCCAGCCGAAAACGCGAAAATTATTTTTGGCCTTCAACACCAACTGCCCAAAAGCCTAAAAAGCATTTTTTGGGCCACTCTGTACGTAAAAAAGGTTGAGGCAAACAATTGGGAAAACATTTCCAGATATTAAGTTAATCTGTATATATTTGAAATTGAAATCCAATTTTGTTATCAAATTGGAGCATTTTTTGTCGATGATCCAAACTTTGAGAAATTTTGCATTGTTTCCTTTTCCACACTGGAGCACAGGAACTTTATATGAAGCACATAAATTTTGAAAAAGCACAGACGGGCAGAACAAGAATCCTGCTAGAGAACGCTTCAAACAGAGTTCAAAGCGCTCACAAGAATCACAATTTAGCCAGTTCCAAATCTAGAGCAGTTTGAAAGCTTTATGAAACTCCATAAAAGCAAATAGTGCAAAAGCAAATTTCCATTGGCTTGAAAGTTTAAAACCCCAAATCAATCAGCTTCTCCAAAAGCAAAACTCTATTTTGCAAATCAAATAAATAACACGTTCACATTTGTACCACTGTTTATATTCACAACAAAAAATGTCCACATAATTTCAATTATGTGTAGGATGCTTTAGCCAAGTCCCCTAGCAGTTTATCGATTGCAACCTCCCCAACAGTCTGCTTAAACAGCAGCTCCTCTAGGCTTCTTCTGGAAATGTTCTGGACGGCCGGCAGGGCGAGAAGCAGCTTCCCAAATCTGGCCTTCTGATGGCTCTGTCTTTCCGCGCAATATTCGTGCAGCATCACATGCGTTTGATCTTGCAAAAGCTCCACATGGGCTGGCTCACAAAGGCCTCGGCTTTCTAAAATAAAAAGTCGTTTTAAAAGAAAAGATTGCTCCCAAAATTTGCTGAAAATCCTACCAGCTTTGAATAATACCAGAGCTTTTAAGCAGGCGTGTTCTGTGTGATCCACTCTGAGCATGTTCAGTCTGGAAATCACCTCTCTGAGCTTTCGGGCGTCTTCTTCCAGAACTGGGTGCCTTGATGTGGGAGCCACCGCATTGTTCACTAAAATAACTAGAAAATCAAAAGTTAATATAAAAAATTGGAAGTCTGGGCTTCGAAGCACCTTCATCCACTGGAAGAGCCCATTGGGAGGCTGTGAGCACAAAGAGCTCGCTCCAGCTTTCCTCAAGCAGAATCGACTGGTCTCTTTGAGATAACTGCAAGAAATCGGTTGCAAAATTGCTACATTGAAAACACTCTCATTCACCTGGAGAAACGAGGGTATAGTTCGAGCCCACTTTATGGCCAAAAACAGCAGCTTTGCAGCGGATTCGTAGGTGTTTTCCGCAAAAACTGACATGCATGGTAAATCTACTGGAACCAAACCGGCATGTTTGGGTTCCACATTGCTTAAAATGGGCAGTTCCAATCGGGCGTTGACGCTCATTGGCCCATCTGAAGTCCCATCTCTTTTCTCCTGGCTGATTTCTTCGGAACTGCTCACTTCATCCTCCTTTCGTCCATCTCTAAGCGCCAAATCCTGCTTGATGTGTGATGTTGGTTTGTCTGAAAAGGGCAGGCATGCGCCTATTGAAAGAGTTCCAATTAAATTAGTTCCTTATGCCAGTAATGAAGAGATTTTCAGATGAGTGGAACAAGGCAAAGCAGTAAATGCGTGCATTGGAAGGAGAGAAACGCCCCTGGAAGTATAAAAAGGTAGGAGGTGTGGCTTGCCCATTAAGATCTGAGTTTTGGCCAATGAAACGCGACGGGTTAAATTTGAATCACGGGCGGGCAAATCGGGTTTTATCGGGTCTAGTCGGATCCTGCCTACTACAGTAATCGGTTTTTCTCTTTCTTACGCAAGCAGTAGGCAAACGACCTTGTTACTCTCGTCTAAAAAGACGACCTCAAATTTTCTCAAAAATCCTTTTTCTAATGAAAAATTCCAACTCACCTAATACTGGATACAATCCATTCGGTTTCACAAACTGGCTGCTCAACATGGTGGGGTAAATCAGGCTCTGATGCATATAATTGCTTTGCGCGTTGATCAGAGGGGGTGCCAGAGATTGGTCGAGCAGGTGAGTAGCAGGAAAATGCAGCGGCAATGTGGGAAACATTGATGATGGCTGCAGCGACCGAAACCGCGGCGTTAAACCTACTGGATAGTGAAGGGCTGGGTGGCTCGATCTGGGGGCTCGCTCATGTTGAACCGCTAAAAAGGTCAAGYAGAATTTTGGTTTTTATACTCGAATGTTTTTGTTGAATAAAAATATGTTATTTTTAATGTCCTAGCATAAGTTAGCTTTCTAAAATGTGTTGCATGTGTTTGGGTCCTCAGGTAGCATCATATGTTTAGGGATGCACTGACCGCTGCGACGTTGTAGTAGTTAGTAATAAATCCGGGAAAGTAACTGCGTTTACTTGGTCGTCACGATATTCAAACGGTTTTTTTTTCTTTGTCTTTTGTTATTGTCAAGTTCAATAAACATTTATTATCATTACTCTGTGTGATCAATTGAGTACCTCAGAAGAAACTCAATAGTTTTTGCTTCTTGTAAAWTTGGCTCCCTTTTTACTTAAAAGTATGAAGAAGACGCTAAATSAAGGTTTTCATGTTTTATTGACAGAAATTMATTCTGGTCCTACTCAAAGTAGCCCTCGATTGTCCATATTTTTGRTTYATTCATGGCTKAACTGAGATTGATTGGAGAGAAGTATTTCTGCAATAAACCGAAGTCCATGTGGWTTAAATCTGGTGAYCAATACGGACAAAATTGCGATTGGATAWTTTTCACAAAATATCCGACAAGTTTATAACTCTTAAACCTGCAWTACWGCGCTTGMWAGAGTGTTTCTAGGCTCAATYATCATGCTCCTTTCCAAAAAAACTYACGTCSCTTGGCCAAAGAAACGTAAAACTGAAARTTTTGCGCAATTCATCGCTTTATAAATACAAAAAATAGAGAAACTTCTAGGCCTTCCGGCTGATAAAAGCGAAAGAAYCCAGATGAAAAGCCTGGGAAAACTCACCTGCACAAGGAAACCAGACACCCTTTTTCAGTTCGACGGCCATGATGTCATGTCGCAGGGCCGCCCTTAATGATGATTACACAAGCCGCACAATAAATATTTTAGTAAGTTGGCTTTTGTATTCCGGCCCGTGTTCGAATCGGTTTTGTTTGACTATGCATCCCTTTGCGCAAATAGGTGAAGTGAAAATCAGCCATTTAGAGTCGGATTTCATCATCAATCCACTACTGGAATATTCATGGTAATTCGATGAAGAAAAACACCGGCCTTTTAGTGATTTAAATGTTCCTTTTGCGGGCAAACTGTGGTTGGGAGTTTGATTTTTATCATTGTATTTGAAGCTGTTGAGTTTTTTGGGCTTCTAGGCCGTGCTGGAAAGGAACTTTTTCCAGACGTTTCGCAAGCACGAGTGGCTTGCATCTTCAGAGGTGGTTTACACTACTTAGTACGTAGTGTATAATCAAGCTTCCGTTTTGTTATTTATTTAGGCCTGCCGATGCCTGTCTTCGTTAGTCCCCAGTATTTGGTTCGTGGAGTTTAGTTCCATAACAGGATTTGGATCGGTGTAAAAACAAAAACCTGTTCTTTAAATTGCTGACGTTTTGTCGTGTTTATTTAGGCCTGTAGCGGTCTAAATAAATGCCAAAAACAGGCCTGGGTGTCCATCTAAATCCTGTTATCAAACTAAACTCGAGTTCTATTGATGCAATCACAAAAGTAGGTTTTTTATTAATTTGTTCAAATCCGGTAATTAAACTAATCATAATTTCCAATATTTTTTCGAAAGTTTCTGCCGTCTATCTGCTGCGGTTTGAAAATTGTACATTTTTAAACATAATCACGCAATATTTAAAACACGACTTTTACATGGAAGTGTGAAAATTATTGCGATTTTGTACATGTCTTCACTAAGAACCTGTTTATCGAATTACCAAATTTTGACCTTCTAGCTATCTTAGTACGAGACTTATGAATGTTACGCTCTATGGAAATATGTAAGTTTTAGATGGAATTTTGAAATTTTTTTCAAACATAGGCGGGGAAAGGAAATTGCTCCAATCCTGCAAATCTCTTCAGTAAGAAGTCTTTTACCGAAAAGCCAAATTTCCACCATCTACCCGCCTTCCTTTCAAACTTATGAACTTTTAAAGTCAAACGCGTACTATTAAAAACGCGATTTTTAGATGTAAGTTTGGGAAATTTTCAAAAATCAGCCAGAAATTAGAAGTTATTGCATTTTTCCCCGAGGACTTGTTTACAGAAATACCAAATTTCCGTCCTCTGGATGGTTGGATTACGGATTGTTCAAGAAAAAAATGCACTATTGAAAATGCGACTTATAAATGAAAGATTGGAAAATTTTGAAAAATCATCGGGAATTTGGAAATTACTGACACTTTGCACATGTTCCCACTGAGGATTCATTAACCGAAATTCCAAATTTCCACCATCTACCTGCCTCCGTTTCAAACTTATGAACTTTTAAAGTCAAACGCGTACCTACTATTAAAAACGCGATTTTCAGATGTAAGTTTGAGAAGTTTTCAAAAATTACCGAGAAATTGAAAATTACTGCAATTTTTCCTGTGTTCTTACTGAAGACTTGTTTACCGAAATACCAAATTTGCGTCCTCTGGATGGATTGATTATGGATTTTTAAAGACAAAAATGCACTATTGAAAATGCGACTTGTAAATCAAAGATGAAAAAATTTTGAAAAATTATCGAAAAATTGAAAATTATTGACACTTTGCACATGTTCGCACTGAGGACTCATTTACCACCATCTCACATTTCCGCCTTCTACCTGCCTCAATTTGAAACGTATACATTAAACAAAAACAAACGCGCTCTATTGAAATCAAGCTTTTTCATGGAATTTTGCGAAATTTTCAAAAATTCTCACTAAGAACTCTTTTACCGAAAAACCAAATTTCCTCCCTCCACCTGCTCCTAATTTTTAAGAAACCTCCCTAAATTTTAAGATTTTTTTAAAAACCACCGAAAAATTGAAAATTACAGCTATCTTGTACATACATATGTTCACTAGGAACTCGTTAACCGAAATATCAAATTTCGGCTTTCCACTGGGCTCAGTTAAGACTTATGAATTTTTAGCCACAAACAAGCACTATAAGAAAAGCGAATTCTACTCAAAGTTTGAAAAATATTCTGCAAGTTACTGAGAATTTGGAAATTAATCCAACAATTATTATTTCAGAACAGTCAAAATCGGAGATTTTGAGCCCTTTTGAGGGAGAATATTTTAACATACTCTTCCTTCAAAAATTATTTACTCATACTTTTTGAAACTGTACTTTATGTAGGTACACAATAAATTGCGATAGTTAACGCGTATGAAGAAACGCGCGAAAAAAAATAAGCAAAAACATTACAAAGCGTAAGTTTATAAATGGTCTTTCAAAAACATCCTGGCAAACTCCAATCAGTTTAAAAATAAATGAGAGTCCGAGTCGCTCTGTATACTCAGCTTCATACTCCCCGATAAATGTCTCGCATTGTGACCCTTAATGTGTACGATTGAAATGTGTACTTCACGTCATTATCACCTAGATAAACAAATTAAAAGGGCGCAAAGTGGCGACAAGCGAGACCCATTGTGGGGGTTAAAAGCGATGTTTACTTCACCGTGTCATTCTCACACTCCCCGTCGCATCCAGATGCCTCTGAAGACGCACTATTTACACGAAAGTGCCGCTAATGCCAATAATGTAACACATATTTTCTTACCGTCTCGTTTCATGTTAACTTGCAGGCATTTTTTGAACCTGCAGGCCTGGCACTGGTTGCGTCTGGTCACGTCCACCACACACCTTCCACTCTCCTTACAAACGTATTCCAGATTCCTGAAAATATACCTGCAAATAAAATTCTTGCGTTTCAGCGATCACATCCAGAAAGCTGGTGAGTTACCCGCTCTTAACACTCACCTTCGGATGCTTCTTTTGAAGAAACCTCGACATCCGTCGCAACTGGACACTCCATAATGTTTGCCCGACGCTTTGTCTCCGCAGACTTTGCACAGGCTTTCGGTCTTGTGGCCGATGGCCTCTTCCATCTGGTAAGTTCAAAAATGTGAAAATCCACCCCCCGTGGTAATCAATGCGATTTATCACGAACATGTCACAATATTCACACCCCATAATTAAATCAGGAAAAGGCAATTACACCCCTACAAGGCTCATATGTTACAAATTGTCATTCAACATTCTCCGCTTTGTTTTTCCTTAAAACCCCCCTATGCTCCGTCTTTTTTCAACCCCCGGCACTTAAAGTGTACCTATTTGAAGGGTGAGTGGTTTGTACCGGGGGTAGCGGCAATCTGACCACAAAGTAACATATTGCGTAATTTGTACCTACAGTTATCTATAATTACTATTTAACTTGACTGCAGCAGGGAAAACACAGGTGCTAAAGTCAGGTCTACCTTGAAGGGGTTGTTGCTTTGGGGCCAGCCAAATAAATCCTTTAGTAGGCACTTATTTAAATAATCTACATCGGGAAAACTGCTAGTGAATAATAGTCAACAAATAAACCGGCAGCTCGGTTGGGGAAATTGAAAGTTTTGTTTGGAAAAACTGCAGGTGCCTGAATATGAATTCCGGAAGCGGCAAATGCTTTTCCGATAGCGTCGCTCACCCTCCGATCTCATTATAAATTTAAATTCGCTTCTTCTGGAGTATCATTTTTTTATGAATAGAATCAATCAATCGGCAGTATTGGGGTGACAAATTTAAAAAATAATTATCCCGCGATGACTATCGGGAAAAAAATTGAATCAATTGGCTTTGAGCTGGGCAAGGCGTGACGAAAACTGCATTTGCATAGGTACGAAATGCAAAAGGGCTCAATGTAGGCAGATTAGAGGTTGGCAAACTTGAGGCTCTGTATTTCAGCTTTCGAACAAGCAAATGTGAATAACTAGCGGTGTTTTTGTCAAGAAAGTTTTTGCCGTTATTCAGAAAATCTTTTTGGGTATTAAACAGACCAATTCAGTGGAGGGCTCTTCAATAGTGTGCACATTTAGTGAGTGCACGGCCTTTATTTTCTGGGGGTTCAGTGCGCTTAATCAGGAGCTCGCTGTATTTGGCGCATTGGCGATCGAATCGGGGTATTTTTATTTAGCGGATTACGAGAATGGATGCAAAAAAATGTGTCTAGACGCTTGAAATTTTGATGAGGCAAGAGAGCGATGAGACCAAGATGAGGCGCGAAAAATCCCCTAAATTTTGATTTGAACACGCCTCAGAATAATTTTGCACGACTTAACATACAGACAGTCGAACCTGACCAGAACTTTCAAGTGCCACCATTTTCGAAAAATGTACACGTCCAATCGAGCGCAAATAGACCATTGAAATTTTGTCCAGTTTTAACCACGCTTGGGCACTGCAAGTGTCCCAAATTTCAATCTGAACACCTCAGAACAATTTTGCAGGAATTTACAAATTTACAGTCGAACTTGACCAGAACTTACAAGTTCAACTCTTTTCAAAAAATTCTCACATCCAATCCAGTGCGACTAGACCCGTGAAATTTTGTCCAGTTCTTATCACGCTAACAGACTCTTGAAACTTTGTCCTGTTTTAAACAAGTTCTAGACAATATCTAGAAATGGGGCAAATTTCAGCTGACACTGGCCACAGTCTTGCAAGTCGACAAACATTCAAAAAATCTTCACTCCTAAAGCAAAGGCGGCATACATTTGCTTTTCTGGCAGATAATAGCAGAATATTCGCTGTTAAAACCGACCAACTTTCATGCAAATCGCAGTTCAGGCTGACTTTTCAGAAAGCCACAAACTTCGATATCGGGGCCACCATTAATTAATTGGATGGCGTTTCCATACTTAATGTAAAACATAAAATATAACAAAAATATATCGATTATCAATAGAGTAAACAATCGTTACCTACATTTGTTTAAAAAATTCGAAAAATTTTGTTCGGTAGACATTAGGTCAAAAATGACCGAAGTTTATTGGATGGGAGAGTTTTTGGTGAGTAAAGAAATGGTCTGAAATTCCACACAACCCAAAGCTCAAAAATCTCATTTCTGTACATATAAGAGCGATTTTTCCAAATATCATCTATACCAAAAAAAACCGTATTCTCAACCTGTGCCGTGTCAAGCCGCTATAAATTGACTCACTGTGTATAACAATGAAGAGCAAAATTTTCTTAAAACTGAAACAGAAAGTTTGAATTTTTGCTGTATTTTTTTAAATAACCGTAGAACAATGTTAGACAGAAAAAATTGACAAGGAACTAGCAAAAGAATAAATGCAAAAACAGGCGAAATTGAATGAAAGAGGTCTAAACATCCAAAAAGATATAAAAAATTAAGAGAAAGTTGCTCTCAAGCAACATTTTTCTGACAAAAATCAGAATCATCAAACAGAAAACAGAAAATCAGCAAAAATGGCTTTGTACTTTTTCACTATATCATCAAATTAACTAGAGCAACCTAAACAAATCAACCCAATTTACTTACCTTTAAGAGTGGCAAGGGAAAAAAAGACGAGCACACACAACACCGTCACAGCACAAAGTCAAGTTGAACAAATTTCAGTTGTTTGTGCCTGCCAGTTCGCTTACCACCCTGTAAGCAACACGCCCCCTACGACAGAGGGTTAAAAGGGCGCCGATCACTGGTGCACAGACCGAGGACTCGCGCTCTCATTGGTCCTCGGTTAAGGGTAGAACACGCCGGATTGGCCCGGAACGGGGCGCCGTTCACCCTTTCAGGTGATGGACGTTTTTTTAGTCATTAACGGTGGAGTGGGCTTAATATTTCAGGCCTTTGTAGACCGGGCAAATAGACCACCCTGAACTCGAGTTTAGCATGTTTTCTTTAGTTTCTTGAAATGTGGGCGATGGTTAATTAAATTACCTGACTGGACTTTTTGCACTAACTTAACCTGGTTTGTTCCTTCCAGATGATTTAGACTAATTTTTAGCAATAGTTTAGTGGGCGTTGATTCATTGGGACTAAAAGTGACTAAAACAGGGCAATATAGATTTTCAGTTTGTGTACTAAGTAATTTAGTAAATATCGAACTAATCGTTCAAATGACTGTCCAACGGTGGTTTGAGCAAATAATAATACCGGAAAAAGAGTTTTCAGTTAACGATATAAGCAGAAGGTTTAGAGGAATTTAACGGGTTTAAAAACATCATTGAAAAAGTCAGTTTTACACATATTTACTTATCGAGTGATCCCAAAACTGGTGTATTCTGAAAGAGGGTTTGGAACTGGATTGAACCTGGCTTTATTTTACGAAAATGGCCCGAAAAATGGTTGAAACATCTGGCATTTTTATAGAGAAGGGGTCTTAATGCAGTCCCAAATCCGCTTTCAGAACAGACTAGTTTTGGGTTCATTCGATAAATAAATCATTAAAGATGTTTAAACCTTTTAAATTCTTCTAAACTCTCTGCTTATATCATAAACTGAAAGCACCTTTTCCAGTTTATAGTTGTTTAAACCGTTAAATTAAAAAAAAAACACGTTTAACACATTTTTTACTGTAAACCAAACAAGAAGTAGACATTTTTTGCGTTAGGTTTCGAAACACAAAGTTTATCGGAAAATAATCCAAATTTGATTATTTATTAACTAAAAAGTTGATCAGTAATGGTGTTAAAATTAATGTTAGAATAAATAGAAACAGCATTCACTTGAAACATCCTGTTTACTTCTCTATTTGCTCTTTAAATCGTTAGCTAAAGCTTCCACATCCTTTCGGATTCAGTTGCATATAGGTAAAGTGGAGACTGATTCCGACACTTTTGTCCAACGAAGTGCCACTTTTGGGATTTACTCAAATGCCAGTAAGATGGAATTATCAGGAAGCCGCTTAATGTTTTTATGTTAAGAAATTTGAGAGAAAAACCAAGAAGTTATCTAGCAAATTCACGCAAAACAATTCGAAATAGCTGATACCTATTTTGAAACTCAAAGTTTTAAAACTCTCTATTTGAATCGCTCAATATAGAAAACAGTGAAAACACATCTGATGAAACTACAAGACAATTTTGCAGTGTTTTATCAAATCGGCCACAAAACGATGCTCTAAACTACAAGTATTTGCTCTAAATAAAAAATGAATTGCCGTAAATGGCCGAACATGAAAAGCCACTGATATCGCCCCCAGAAAATCTTTTGCGGCGTTCGGGAAAACCGGGAGACAAAGGGAACAGGTGACGCCTTTCCCAGGGCTGGTACTTTACGCTATTACTGCGACTGAGGCCAACACCGAAACCTTTTATGGGAAATCAATTAGGAAATGTGTAGCTCAACACAATGTAGATGTGCAATTTTTCATTTTTTTATCAGCTATATTGCAAACAATTGACCGGCGTTAGGGTAAACTGTCGGTGGTTTTCATCCGCAGTAGTTGAGAAAGTATGTAAAGTTACATGATTAAACGGGCCAAGTTTACAAGGGTAAAAATGAGTGGATGACTGAAAAAAATTGGTTTATGTTTTTCAGAGGGGAGAAAACTAGCTTTCTTTAGCAGAAGAAGAAAGGGACAAAATCTTTGACTAACTAGAACCACAGAAAATCTACTTGTGTTGTGGAATAAATCAAAATTCATTCCTGGGTTTCAGTCATTTATTGTCTCTATTTATCAATTAAAATACGTTTCGGTGTATTTTTCCACCATCATCAGTTTTTCTAAATTAACAGATAGTTAAAAAAAAATGTCATTAATTTAAAAAAACTATTCCAGTACGAAAACAAGTTCTATTCACAGATATATGGAGTAGCAATGGGTTCTCCCATAGCAGCAACAATTACAAATTTGGTAATGGAAAATTTGGAAGAACAAATAATATCTAAATTAAACTATAAGTGTGAATTTTTTAAACGATATGTGGATGACTGCATAATGTGCCTGCCAAAAGACAAAATTCAATATATACCAGATAAGTTTAATGCCTTTCATGACACCATAAAGTTTACTCTGGAAGAAGATAAAGAAAATTCTATAAACTTTCTAGACCTAACAATTAATTATGATAACAACGGGGAAATCAAAACAAATTGGTACACAAAGGAGGTATGGTCTGG